GGCCTCGTTGTTTATGAACTCACGATTTCTGCAGTCTCACGAAATTCGACTCAATTAGCTCAATATGTGCCACGATCAACTCAGAGACCCGTACTCACACCTCATCGACCACCATTCGGTACTTGAGCACGCGGTTTCATGTTGAGAAAGCACTATCGCCAATGGCCAGCAGTTGTCACAGAGCATAAGGTTTTATTGCGTGCTAGTCCGTCGCTGATATCGATTTTCCGGTCTGAAGTGGTTATTAAAGAGCAAGACCCGAGCGCTGGAGTGATGGGTGGACTCGTTGATGGGGAATGAAGACCCAAGTAAGTCGACGATCATTGTGTTCGTCCTCTTCTTCTCGACGGACAGACAGAAAACGTCCGTGACAACCTCGCCGAGCAAGTGCCGGCTGTTCATCGAACGACTCAGTTGTTGGATCCGTCAATGTCGCACAAATCTTATCAGCTCGAGGGAGCATCATATATCCGTCGTGGTGAAAGCAATCTATCTCTGGACGTCTAGTTCTTTGCGCCTTAGTGTCCAGGCGTCCACTTGAGGTCACGATAGGTCTCTGAAACATTCACAGAAAAGAATTGATAGTGGATAGCGACTTCCGAGTTTGTATCAAAGACGATTCTTGGCTCTTTCATAGCGCCAATCCGAAAATCCGACGATTACTATTCTGCTGTTACATGACCCACTAAATTCTATAGTCCAAGCGTTACCCTGTCGTTGTGCCTGGCACATAACTCCCCTCCATTCGTCTGCCGCCTCTTCTGTTGGATTCTATTTCTCCATCTGCTCCAAGTCTCTCACAAGACTCGGCCGACAGCTGATATCTGCCGTGAATCCGAGCGTACAACTCAATTAACCCGCCTCTGACACACATTTTTGAACGCTAATACTTAAGTATACACGCGTGATGGAGGCGAGACGTTATTTTTAGAAATCATGATCTTGATCTGAGAAGCACTCACCCACATCCTCGTTGTTCTCAAGGTCATTATTAGTCTGATCACCGCCTCCTTTTTGTGGAACGTGAGTGCCTAGAGTTACGTGTCAGAAAATTAACGACTTTACAAGTTCTTCTCGACGAGCGCCCAAGTTTAAGATCATGGATTTGGAATGCCGACGAAGTTGTTCATGTTCACCGACCCTTTCCCGGCTAGTACAAAAGGCTAGAATGCATCGCAAGGAGCTCTTTCATGCGTCACATGGCTGATTCATTCGTTTCATCCATTGAAGGCGTGCCAGGTCGGCAAAGTACTTCGAAATTTAAAGTGGGTATCTCATAAAGCCGGTTACCAGGCTAGTGAAGATCTAGCCTGTCAACCATTCTTGCGCGGTTGTTCAGACTCCGATCGTATGCCGAGCTTCAGTCCGAAGACAACGACGGATTCTCTGTACGGTTTTGCTGGACGGCGGTGCTGTGCCGCTTGTAATTTGAAGCTAGGTGTAGTGATTTAGGCTTGATGCTACTTTTCTCCATCCTGATTACATGGCAACCGATTTTTCGAGCTCTGCGACTATATCACATGACCGTTGAACGCCGGTTAAGAATCGGTTATGCGTCGGAGTTTGTAATTGCACACACTCACGAGCGAACCCCCGTCCTGGGTGCCAGGCTTTACATACAGTAACGGGTTCCCGTACCAGGCTAGTGGGGACCTACCCCGCATAGATGATCATGAGGTATGGGGACTTTGATTGGAGTCCGGGGAACGTAAGGATCAGATCGAGTCCTCAGATCATGCCTATAAAGGACCCCCACCCGAATGTCGTTACGAGTAAGGTTGCCCTTCTCGCTTCAGGATCACACTCTTATCTTATTTCCCTTTTCTATCCACTCGATGTCTCTTTCTAGCGTTCACGCGAAAGATGAAGATTCTAAGTCGGCCGAAGAGCAAATCATTCCTGCTGTCGAGGATGAAATGAAAATCGCCTTACAGATCGAAGAACGGAGGCTCGTACGTAGACTTGATGAACGTATCCTCCTGCTGGCATGTTTCCTCTATCTGTTCGCATGTATGTCTTTTCTCTCCCAAGTCAAGTTCGTGTTTACACATAATCATTTAGATCTCGACCGTTCAAATCTTGGAAATGCGCGTCTACAAGGCCTGCCGGAGGATATCCTCAATGGCGATCCCACTGGCGTGCTTTTTGACTGGATAACCTCCGCTTTCTACTTTTTCTTACGTGAGCACTCGTGTCGATTGCTCCTCCCTGAAGGTTTGATAGATGTATGAATCAGATTATCTGCCAAATTCCTGCGACAATTGTCTCCAAACTTATCCCACCGCATTACTGGCTTGCAGGAGCTGCTGTGGGGTGGGGTTTGTCGTCCACCCTTATGGTGAGCATAATAAATGCCGACATCACACCGGATGCTTATCGGATGGTCGTGTTTGCCTAGTCGACAGCGTTTAATTTCGGCGGCCTGCTTACTGCGAGGGTATTTTTGGGCATCTTCGAAGCAGGCTTCGGGCCTGGAATCCCATTATATTTTTGTAAGTTCATAGCTGTTTTCCCACGCGATGTTGTGGGTTGACTGTAATGAAGCGCTCTCTACACCAAAGAGGAAATGGGTTTACGGGTCAGTGAAAGCGTTTTTCAGCAAGCAAGTAATGGGCTTAGTGGCACATAGATAGGCCTACTGGTTTGGTTTTCGCAGCTGTTGCTGGCGCTTTTGGAGGACTAATAGCCTTCGGTATATCAACATCAAACATTGCGATTGCGCATTGGAGACTGTTGCTTATAGTCGAGGTATGTCGCTTTCTACTTCCCTTTGTATACCCGTTCATATCAGGAATGCCACAGGGGCACCCCTACTATTGTCCTCGGAATCATCTGTTTTTTTCTGCTTCCGAATCGGCCTGAGAAAAACGCATCTATTCAATGATAGAGAAAGAGAGATCGCTGTCTCCAGGATGAATAGAAATACAAGTGGAGATGTCGGGAATGTCGTGAATAAAGGTTCGATCTTGCGTTGAGACTACGACAGTTTTTGATTCTTTGTTCTACAGCGCATATATGGATGGCTTTCCGTGACTGGAGGGTAAGGCACCAAGCTTCCCATGGAATAATACCGCTGAGCATGAGAGACAGATCTATACTGGTGGTGTCATCTATTTCGGTCTAAATTGCGCTCTGGCGTCGATTTCAGCCTTCTTGCCGACTATTATCCAAACTTTCGGAAACAGTTAGTATACTTTTGTTCCGAGTGATTAGAATGCTGCTACTTATTATCACCGTAGCCAACGCCATTGCACAACTCTTGACAGTACCTCCATATGCTGTTGCTGCCGTTGTATTGACACTCTTCTCGTACGCGTCTGACCGTCTCCAAACGAGGGGCTGGTTCATGGCCATTGCATCTCTCATCGGCGCCATTGGATACCTGTACTTCATTCGCATCATTTTGGATCCTTCACCCACTAACCATGATTTTCAGTCTACTTCTGACCGTTCCTTCAAACAACCACGTTAGATACTTTGCCACATTCTGCATTACAAGCGGAACATATACTACCATCGGCATCATTATCGCTTGGTGTAAGTGTCGTTTGTATGTCGCTTAATTAATACTAAAACGACATGGTTAACATAGTTGCTCACAATCTTGGTTCTGAAACGAAGAGGGCGACGGTATCCCTATGTTTATGGCTATTGGCCAGTGTGGCAGTGTGTTGGGCTCGCATATTTTCCCCAAGACTGAGGGTCCCAAGTATATGTGCGCCCACCTTCGCCTCTCCTTTGACGTCTTTCCTCATCTATCATTGTCTGAAATAGCAAGGGATTTGCTAGTAAGCCACCTTGCTCACCACCGTCGTTTTGAATACTTATCACAATCAGTTTCGTGCGCGCTTGAATTCTTAGCTGCCATTTGCGCGGTCATACTGCACGTAGGTCACTCTGGATTCGATGGTGTTACCCCCATTAACTTGAGAATTCCAGTTCTCTTACCGCCTCGAAAATAAACGGAGAAACGCTCTCTATGGTGTTCCTGGCTATAATACGCGGGTCGACACTAGCGAGTTGGCTGACAAGGTTTGTTATTTCTCCTCGAAGGTTCAGATTTTGCTCATTTAGGTTGCCTCAGGCACCAAATTTCAGATATGTTACCTAGGAAAGAGCTTCGAAAGCGCAGTTGATCTTATTTTCTCATGTGTATACTACATTATCTCCTGCAACTTATACCTGATGATACTTTCAGTTGTTAAAGAAAGGTCCCATTTGGGAACTTCATCCGTTCGTCCGAACGCAACATGTCCAAATGGGCATAACATGCGCGTCCATTCGAAGTAGCGCTTACAATATGATTAAACCTAGTATACCGTCCTTGGCAGATCCATGCCTTTGAGGCCATTCCACCAATCCTTAGTACCATAATAAACTTGCACCCAATCTATGTTGAGATGAGCGGTAATTCTCCAGCCGCTCACCCGGATATAGCAGGGAACCCTCGCAAACAGGCGAGGGTTATCATCGTTCGTCTAGCTATTTATCTACACTGTACAACTAATAGAGGTAATACCACGTAGTAAACAAGGCCGAGGAGAAGAACAAGTTTCCTTTGCCTGACAACCGAAGATCCCGACGTCAACTGCGCTGCGATGCGCGACACTTGATACTCCAACAATCTATGAAACAAGGCATTCTTTGTTGTACAACCGTGACCTTTATAAGCTCGAAGTGCGGAGTTGGATTCAAGCTGTGACCTGTGACCACTGCCCAAACAGTTTCTCATTTAGCACTCTCTTGATTATATACCCGTCCTGAGCCTGGAAGATAGGAACTAGTGTGTATCATTAATCCCTCTCGTTTCGATACTCAGTACGATGGCATTAGCACCGTCCGAGCTCTTATAGCAGTCACTTTTTGGCGGTGTGATGCTTGATGACGATGGACAGTGGCCTCCGGAGGTAAATCAGTTGGCAAACTGAAGCGGAGGGGAAATTGATAACACTTCCAGGGAATTTCTCTTCGCGAAGTCACGCTATCTGCCTTCGCTGAGACGGGACAACCGGAATCATCGATCATCGTTCCAAAGCAACGGGCGTACACCGGTAGTGCGCCTGTGATATCATCCCGCCTTGCCGATACTCCCTGCGCTATCCTCGGCATTCAGGGCCTCTTGGATCAACTGAACACGACACTCGGCACATCACACACCCTGGACACTCCATCCCTCTCCTCCCTTCTTGAAGACTGTATCACAAACGACTACGACTTTGGCACAGCATATGGCCGCCTCCGCCCAATATAGTACACCCACAACTGGAGCACTATACGAGCTCAAGTTTGTAAATGAGAGAAAGAGGACCGGGAGGAGCGACGAAAAGCACTCGTTGGTAACCGGATCGTCGATACATTTATGCCACCTCGACGTGTCTGGGATCTGTATAGCAATCGGGTGATGCCATGGTGGTGCGCGGGCATACGGGGGTGGCCTCGGCCAATATCGCACGCGTAGGTGGACGAGAAAGATCGCGCCGACGTGTGGACACCCATCAATGGATACGAATGGCCTGTTCCCGTCCCGAAGGAGAGTGACCTCAACCTGATCCGCATCGAGATGCTCAACCTCGGACTGGAGTACGCGTGGTTGGACGTTCTGTATTTGAGACAGGTGGGTGGACCAGGGGAGGATGCACGTGCAGAGGAGTGGAAGCTGGATGTACCCACCATCGGAGCAGTGTATACTGATGGCAGCCATATGGTGTGTTACTTGAGCGGGCTGGGTCTGCCTTTCACTTTGAAGGAGGGTGACTTGGACAGTGATCGATCTTGGTTTAGACGTGCTTGGACACTACAGGAGGTTGGCCAATGGAGGGAGATTGCTGGAGACACGCCGGATGGACCAATGCATGCGGAGCGTAAAGATGGGAAGTATGAGACTGAACTGCTAACCAGGTTTCATAAGCAGCTGCAATCTATGCAGGACATGTCGTATCGGGTGCTTGGGCCACTGAAGAGCATGCAGCAATGGGTATCGACCAACCCAGTAGACAAAGTTGCGGGATTGGCGTTTGTCATGGGGTCCGAGAAGATACCGGCATACTATGAGAGCCAGTCTCTCGAGGACGCATGGACAGCACTCGTGAATTCGATGGATACGCTCTATCGGGGACAGTTATTCTTCTCGTGTCCTGAACCGGGAAATGCAGGCACAAAATGGCGGCCATCGTGGGAGCAGCTTATGATGAAGCCTCTTCCCGCATATGATTTTGACCCCAACGTCTCTGTTGATCGGGATGAGGCAGAGGAAGAAGACTCGGTTGATGAGGTGTGCATTGAAAAGGGGTTGGTGCAGGGGTTGGCTGTCGTTGTAGAAGGGGGTGATCGACATGGAAAGTTGATTGTTAAAGACAAGAGTGGGATAGAACATGGATTCGGGATCACTGCCACACACGAGTACCCGATACCTGAAGACACTTATACACTGATTCTTGCTCATGACTGGGTTACATTTAGTGGTCGCTACTATTGTATCGTTGGGCGAAGCCTGCTAGGGAAAAGGTTCGAGAAAGTGTCGATGCTGGAACTTTCTGAGGAAGAACAGTGCAAATTAGAGGATCTGCATATTGCTGAAGTGTGTCGATATATTCTTATTTGAGCGAGTACACATTGCACAGTATCTTTTTTTCCTGCCATAGCAGGTTCACAAATCATTCATCGACTACAATACAGTTACATAAGACAATAACGCAGACAGCTCTACCAAAAAATACAAAAATCACTCCTCCATGGCATCATCACTATCATCCTCATCACTGTCGGAATCTTCACCCTCCGCAACTTCGATATCGTCCAATCCGATATCATGATCCGCCCCTACGTATGAATCGCAGATCACATATAGTTTCAACGAATGCTTGCCCTTTGGTAGCGTGAACTCCAGCTTGACAGCCAGATTCCTCGTCACCGTCACACGCTTAATGACCAATAGCTGTCGCGTGGAAGGTTCGCCGACAACCAACCACCAGTTTGCCATCTTCTTCCCTGGGTAGAACGGCGCAATCACCGTCTGGTCGCCTTCTTCGTCATCTTCGTCGACGTCCCGGGCGAGAGCAACTTGGAGGATTATCGGAGCACCCGCTGTGTAGTCCCCGCCGACAAGCTCGTGCGTGACATCGAGTGTCGGGTACGAGTTGACGAACGTAGCAACGTCTTGCCTGTAAAATCAAATAAGGATTACGTTAACAACAAATGCACGGAAATGCTTACATCTGCGCCTGGGTCATTTGCAAAAGCGCTGTTCGCTTGTCGTCCTCCATCTCCATAATATCGTACACAGATTCGATACCAGCGTCCTTACACCGCTCGATTAACTCTGGCTCGAAGTGCGGTATTTGCCTCAGAGGAGAGTCTCTGTCCCAAACAGCCTGAACACACATCTGCGCCAGATCCATAGCACCCAAGGCACTCAACCACGCATTGGACGACATGACATCCACACACGCCGAAAGCAAGTTCAGCACCTTCTCTAGGACAATCTTCTGGTCCGCAGCCAGATCCGCTGGTAATTGAATACGACTGAAATGTGCTTGGAGAAGAAGGAAGGTCTTGAAGTGAGGAGCCTCAAAGTTGACCCCGTCGATCTTGACAGGAAGACGCTCATACAGTCGTTTGAGCAGGACATCCTCGTGTCGACGGATAGGAATGACTTCGAACTCGGCAGAAGATGATACGACTTCCAGTAGACCCTTTAGCTTCGTGCGTTCCTTCAGCGATAGCGTATAGACTTCAACGGTCACATCTACCACAACGATATTAGTCGCGCGAGGAAGAAGTAGGGAAGCACTCACAAGAGATATTGTAGTAAGCAGCGATCATTCCAAGGTTGAGCGCGGAAACGTCCATCTCGTCCTCTAAAGGAAAGGTAAGCAAGGTACCGAAAGTGAAAAAGTCGGTAGGTTTACCGATAGCAATGCATTTGGAGTTAACGAGATCAGTCAGAGTGTTCTCAACCAACTCCGAAAGATGGTCCGACAAATGCTGGTGGCTGACATTGTGAAGGTTATAGTAATTGGGATTCTGCGTCATCCTGCGGTAGAAGTAAGTCCATGTCAAAATATCCTAGAACAAAGTCAGCTCAGCATCGCGCCAGAGGCAAAGCATCCTACCATAGCATCTTGCTTATTCTCGATAGTTTTGACTGCAATCTCCGCCAGGAAATAGTCATGTAGTAAGTGAGTCGGAAGATGACTCTCAATCGGAAGACCCTCCGCCAAGAATTTCTTGTAAAAGTCCTTCCTGGTCTGTTGACACATGAGGACACACCGACTCCGTTCGTCGTCTTTCGGCCGACATGCTCGACCCATCATCTGCAGAACGTCCATGACAGGATAGTCGACGTATCGGTGCTCCTTCCCTTCGTAGTACTGCACACCCATGATGATAACCATGTAGCTAGCAACGGGGATCGACCATGCTGTATCTTTCGAAGCCACCAGCACTTGAACAGCTCCGCTCTCAAACAGACGCTGGACGATCCGTTTGTCTTGCTTATCCATGGCCTCATGGAAATAGCCGATGCCCTTCTTTAACGTCTCCTTCAATCCTTCGTCCCGCAAATGGTCGAGATGAACCTGTATATCTGCGACCTCGACGTTAAGGAACCTGTCTGGTTTGTCATCCGCAGCGCAGTGGATAAGCAGGTCGTCGACAGTGAGACGACATTGCTTCCGTGAGGGAACAAAGACGATGACAGGTTTTGTGGGTGCATATTCGACGATGGCCAAGTACGCTGGCTTCGACATGGCGATCATGAGGGAAGGGAAGTGCGGTATTGTGAATGATTGCAGATGGATATCCATGTCCAGGGGCCGTGCACTAATAGAGAAAAATGAATGAATACGAGCACAAGTTGAAGAGCGCAGAAGACACATACCTAGGCGAGAAGTTGAAGATAGCATGAGAGGGTGCACCCATCCATTCACCCAGGTCGCGCGCATTCGCAAGCGAAACCCCGCACGCAACGATTCGAGTCTTTACTTCTGTTTGCGCAGACACATATCGTGTCCTGGAGATGACAACCTCATATGTAGGACCTACTTCTCCTCCAACAAGCTGCACCTCATCAGCGATCAGAAGCCCAATATTCTGGACATTCTTCCGCTGACGCCAACGACGAGAAAGTACGTCCCACTGGCACAACGAGCATGAGTAAGATTAGCATAGAAAGATGAAAAAAGTACCTGAGAGGGAGTGCAGACAATCACATCACCCTTTTCCAAAAGTCGCAGATCGGCGCTTGTCTCGCCAGTTAGACTGACAATCTCCTTACCACCTTGAAGTCCGGAGAACTTATCCTGCCATTCCTTCACCCGCTGGTCGACCATCTCCTGATATGGCTCGATACAAACAGCTCTTGGTTGTTCGCGCTTGCTCCATAGTCTGAGCAAAGCAAACTCGGCACAAACGGTCTTTCCACTGCCCGTAGGAGCACCAATGAAAACATTCTCATCCGAAGTATACAGCGCTTGGAACACCTGTGTCTGTATCTTGTTGAATGTTTCTATTGTGGACGCGTAGATCTTCTCAAATTCCTTGTTATGGAGTGCTGACAACGGAAGGGGCTGAAGATCCAAGAGAGGCGTCGGAGCGGGGAATTTTTCGGGAAGAATGAGATGCTTGAAGGATATGGGAAGCCTGGTTTCGGAGTGAAGCCACCGGTCAGAGATGATAGAGATGTAATAGTTGGGAGGTACGGGCTCGAACATGGGAACCGTTAATGTGACGTTATGTTCATCTTCAGCGTAGCGTTGGCGGAGAACAAAAGTATCATGGAAAAGAATGACCTCTCCATCAACATCCTCTACCATGATCAAGAATGTTTCGGCGCCACCATGAATCTTCTCATCCCAACGGAAGTCAGGGATGATCGAAAGATCAATACGCAGCAAGGAGCGGGTGATAGGTTGTACCTGGGCTTGAAGCCTAGTAATAACATTAGAGCTGTTGCTTATGATGATGAAGAGATCTACACACTGAAGCTTAGGGAAGCTGTGAACGAGTCGATGTACCAGTTTCCCCGCATTTGGTATTCCGATGAGCTCACCAATTTCAGGAGGCGTCTGGAAACACCACTTAGCACTCAGAAACCGAATAAGAGTAGTCATGACTCACAAGATCAAAATACCGATACCAGGGCTATTAGTTCAAAGTTAGTTTAGATGCCTTCGCCACTTCTTGTAAAAGACGTACGAATTGTTTACCCTCAGCTTTTCTTATAACTTCTGAAGGAACACCTTTGAACTGTCTGAGAGGCGTCATCGACCCCCACCTGATCCAAGGTCAACATTAGCAAAGGAGAGCAGCATAAGATATGTCTTACATTCGTTTTTCAACCATCTTGCAGAGGTCAAGAGCTGCTTTCGCAGGAACTGCCCATCCACGTTTCAGACATATTTCAAAGATCGCTCGAAGAATACTGATAATTGATCAGCACAGTTAAAAGTCGAGGGGAAAATAGGCATACCGTCCGGCTGATTGCTGAACGAACACCATGTCAGCGACAAGAACAAAGCCTGAAAGGTAAAGTTAGTCCACGAAGAACGAATAACAATATGACATACCCTCCAGTTTCAGTTGAGAAATGTAGGATTGAAGAAGAACATTGATTTTGGCCGCTGGCTCCTCCACTGTTTCTTTCACGGGGATAGGGACGCGCTCTATCAGTTTTGCAAGCTCCACCTTCTCTTCTTGACGGACCTGAATAACGTAATTAACACGACGAACCTTTTGGACTGACTGCACTTACAGGCAACAGCTTGAACTCGTTGGACAGCGAGAATACACGGAACAGTTCCAGAGTGGACATTGTCGGCCTCAGATGCTGGTTATACACCATCATCGAATTATACGTCACGTAATAATGCGATGCGATCCTTCCTAGCTCGGTACTCTGGAAACGTCCTGAAGACCGCTCATACTTCAACAGCTGACACTTCTCTAATAAGGCAGCTGCAGAGTGGACGATATCCGCTCGCTTTTGAATCAAGCCGATATCGTCATCCTGATAATCGACACCAACGCCGTACAAACCTGGCGAGCGAAGCATTCGCACATAACTGAAGAATGATTAGTCAACAGCAGAGACATTTGAGATAGAAGAAGCTTACAGATAGGTGTATCCCAGCCACTGAACTGCCTCGTCACGATTCCTGATGGTGCCCAGGACGATTTCGGCATTGAGGTTGTCAGCCAACTTGGATACAAACTGAGATTCAATAGGTAGCTGCTGGTTGAGCAAGCTCAGATAGTACTGGAGTTCGGTATGATTGGTGATGATAATGCCTTCGCCGTATGTATCATACTGCGGCCGTCCTGCACGTCCAAGCATTTGAAGCACGTCCTGTGAAGACAGCTCAACCCAACGACCCTTCTCCGGGTTGTAGATCTGGGTGCCCTTTATGATGACCGTATGCGCCGGCAGATTGACACCCCAGGCTAGTGTCGCAGTGCACACAAGGACCTGAACAGATCCGTCCGCAAACAACTCCTCCACCAGTGAACGATCTTCCCGTGACATACCAGCGTGATGAATACCGAAACCAAAGGGAAGGAGATCGCGAAGGTTGGAATCCTTGACATTGTTGGCTTCTTCCGTTAGAATTTCCCGTGTCGCGCCATCAGCCTTGACGAACTGAGTAATCGTCTCCTTCTCCACCGCCATGTCCCTCAGGAATTTCGCAGTTTTCGCCGTCTCTTTTCGCGAGTGAACGAAGACCAGGGTTTGATTTTTTCCAGCCTGGTCGAGGACCTTTTCGTAGCAGACTTCGTTCGTCACTTGGTACCGCTTGATCGCCTTCTTTTCTGTGACTCCAATAAACTGTTGCTGCAGCCCGCAAGGTCGGTACGAAGCATCGAAGTAGAAGAGTCCTTTTGATTCGTCTACGCGAAGGAAAGTGGCGACATCCTGATAATTGGGTAGAGTAGCAGACAACCCAACGAGACGCACATACTCGTTAGTTTGTTCCATGCGACGAATTGTTCGAGCAACGATGCTCTCCAGTACTGGACCACGTTCGTCATGAAGCAAGTGAATTTCATCAATGATGATCAGCCGAACGAGATTTGTATAGCTGGTGTCGGTGCTTTTACGCGTCACAACGTCCCATTTTTCCGGCGTGGTTACAATGATTTGTGTTTCGGCAATCTGTTGCTTCGTCATTTGAGAGTCGCCCGTAAGTTCGCCGACTTTGATACCGAATACTTTAAGCCTAGCGGTAAAGTTGCCCACCATCTCTTGGACCAATGCTTTCATGGGAGCAACATAGATGATTTTGAACGCATCAAGATCGAAAGTGCCGGTAGCTTCATCGCGATACTTAGACAGCTCATTCAGGATTGTAAGCATGGCGACATTGGTCTACATACCAAAGGATAATCAGCGACGAAGTAAAGATGCAATTTAGCATGCGTACCTTTCCGGCACCGGTAGGCGCACAAAGAAGGATGGGCTCATCAGTACCAAAGGCAATGGGGTAAAGTTTGCTCTGAACGCGGTTCAATTTGGGAACGGTGAACGCTTCTCGAGTCCAAGGTGGCAAATCTGATATGGGAACCAGTTCACCTTCAACAACAGGTTTCTGTTTCGGGGCCGGGACGTGAATCTCTTCATAACCCTTCTTGGCCCGTTTGAATGAGCCATCCGGAAGTTTACACTTCTTGTTGGACATGAGGTGTCCGCCCTGACTGAAGGCCATGCTCTCCAGATCCACGGTTCGCTTTGGCTGGACTGTCGAGCCAGGGGCCAATGTGGCAGTCTTGGGTACCTCAGGCTTGTCTTCATCGACGTCCATTGCATCTGACACGTGTGCCTTCGTCTGACGATCTCCAGCTAATTCGCGCAGAATCCAGCCCACACCCTTTTCGCGCATAGCAACTTCAACATTGACACGCTCATCAGCGTCGCTCCGCATGAGTTTCGTACACCAGACAATGACGTCGCGGTTTTTAAGGAATTTTGTCGTGATATGAAAACTCTGGTAGTCAAAGAGTTCCATAAGCTGGTTTTCGCAGTCACGAAGGTTGGACTCGGAACCAAGAATCGAGAGCACGGAGGAGGCCTTGTCAGCAGCAGTGACAGGGTCTGAATACACCTCAGCGATCTGCCTCTGTACCCAGAAGCCATCAATGGAATGTGGAGAAACGATGTCCTTGTCGGCCTTGGATTTTGCGGATTTGGAAGATTCACCACCAATGACCAGCGCCTCTTCGCCAACTTCACCGCCGTCTTCAGGTGCAGCTCTACCATCCCCGCCCTCTTCGTCCTCGTCCTCGTCCTCCTCATCCCGGATTTCAAATCCCTCTTCATCCTCTTCCTCTTGCTCCTCTTCATCAAAAACCACAGCAACACCGACCTCGTCATCAATCTCTGCATCCTTCCGCTCCATATCGGGATCCAACATTGCCTCATCCTCAGCACCGTAGTCGGTAATCTTCTTCGACAGGCTGACAAGTTGAGAGAATTGTTCACCAGTTATAGGTCCGATGACTTCTTCTATCTCTTTCTTCTTGTCAAAGTCCTTCATACCCTCGTTCTTCAACGTCTCCAGCACAGTGTCGGCAGCGCTTCGAACAATATCTTGGGCCTGGCCACCAAGAGTGGTGTGAACAGAAGACAATATGAGTTCATAGACCTCACGCGTTTCAGCAGTCCGTGGTCTGTACGTCAGACCTTCCACATCCTGCGTCGCTTCGATGATGTCCGCGTATCCAAACCCGACAGTGTCAGCCTTGCGCTTAGCTACAGCCTTTTCTGAAGGTTCCTGGCGGTCTGCTGCCTTCTTTTTCTTCTTATCCACGTCCTTGGGCGTCTCTCGGACGACGCGAGAACCCATTTCTCGTGGATCTATGCGACCAGCCAGTGAAGTAGGCGCCCCATCGGGTTCTCGGTCTCTGCGAGGGAGTGCAGACCGATCTGCGGTAAGAACAAGAGAAGAGATGGCGCCATAGTTGTACTGAGAGAGGTCTTGCTTTTTTCCTTGTGCGCCAGACATGTTGGCCGTTGTCTGTGGCGGACGACAAAGGTAAGTACGAGTCTGAGTCGCGACAAGGAAATTTCTTGCTGATGTAATAAGGCCTTTATTTGGAATTTTCACTCTTTTCCCAACAAAATAGTAAAATAATACAAAAACCCAGCACTCATCTCATCATCTCATCATTACACGGCACGGTACCTTCAGGCACGCCGGACGCAAGGATACAGGTGACTGCACTACGAAACCCAAATCCTCACTACCCTCTACTCATCATTGGTGCTGAGTCTTGGAAAATCCCTCAAATCCGAGGTCGATAAAGCCGTCTCCACGACGGCTCCCAAACCCAATCACTGCTGCCGATAAAACTTCCTCCATGCTCTCCATCCTTACTCCAAGTCGAACCTTCGTGAGGCTCGTGGAGCTCTTCGACCACCAGAGCTTTCGTATCACGACGAAATTCCTTAAAAACCGCGACGTCATTATATGGTGTACCAAGCTCATGCGGAGCGATGCCGCTTGTGCCGAAGAAGAAGAGGTTGAATCCTCCTCCGCCACCATCCGTTCTCGATCTCGCGGCCTTCGCTGTTCACCACGACTTTGTGCTCGCGACATATCGCACCCAAACATCCTCTTCCATACTTCTTACTTGCGCCAATGGCAATAATTACGCCATAGACTCTTTGTGACTGTTGTCCAGGTTGGACTCGATACATGTATCGCTTGCAATGCGTTCGGAGGGTGTTAAAGGTATCTTTTGGCAGGCTGAATGGGATTTTATTGGACGTGACATGGAGGGGTGAATTATGGCGTAGCAAACCTACACTAGGTGTTTATTTCTCAAGTGCGTGGTTTCCTCTGACTGCCAAGGCTTCCTTCCGTTCTGACGTCTTCTAATACAGATCTGTTTCCCCCCAAACCTCCCCAGCACTGTTCTCTTGGCTCTCAAAATAGACCTTCTTGACCTCTTCGACCACTAATGTAGTGCTTGTTTGATGTACCCCTCGTCCGAAACGCCGTCTATGACCTTCAGTCTATGATAGGTAGCAAGTTATTCGTCATCCTCACTGGTAACGCCTTTCTTTAACAATGTACGACGTTCATTAATCCTTTCTCTTTAGCATGACGGTGACCTACACATCTCTACTCGTTAGCATGGGACGGGTTATGTTCACACCTCAAAGACAATCATGCCGCGTACCTATTGTAAGTCTATATATTGTTTGTCTCCTCAGAAATCAGATTAATCTACTCTTAGCCTTCGACGGTGGGACGACGAGTGCTTGAGGCCGCAAAGTGCAGGCCTCTTTGTCACTACACGGAACTTACATGTATTTAAAGCATGTACTTCAGGAATCTAATTTATACTCTTGACTCGCACGATTTACCGTGGAGACAAGACATGAGCATTTATAGGACAAAATACACTGAAGAGAAAGGTTGGTACAGGTTATGTGCTGACGGCGCTCCCTCTCTACCCCTTCGGCTGCTCGTACTTCCTATCTGTGCCAGGGCCGTTGACGGATAACCTCGCTGCGGGCTGCGGGCTCCTTGGGTTGCAAGAGGGTTATATATGGTCGTTGTATTTCGGGAGGAATCGAAACACTGCTTCGTTGAGCACTACCAATCCCATTGCATTGACGGTGTACGGCGAGCATCGAGAAGTACAACGTTGAGGTGATAGTGCTGTCTGAGATGCCATGTTTGGTGACACGACGCGATGCTGGGACTCGTGTTGCTTTGACCACCATCGCTATGCAAGCTCGAGTTTCTATCTCTCTTACACTTTCGGATTATCCCAAGACAATTTCGACACCGTTCCTGGTCTAGAAGGTCCCATCGCAAGAGGAGTTTCCGACTCTCCCAAAAAATACATCGACTTCCCTCCGTTTCGGCAGGTGTTCTGCGCAAATGGCCGACTCCTCCCTCCCGTGCTCTCTAGCGAGCAAACATTTTGCAACGTCAAGCTTGGTTCCGTGTCGAGGCGACTAAGGACTTCTCCCCAAAATGCACTGACACTTTCCAAAAAATGCGACCACTGGGTTCACGAAACGGGCGTTGGTTGTTTTAGTGATGCTGTTGGCGTCGCAGTCCTTGTCGAGGAACACATGGCAGAAGCAGGGAGAGGGCCTGCAGATGATGCCGATGTGGCTTCTTTGAAGACATCCAATGTTGGATATGTCAAACGTTTTCATCGGCAGCCTGATCCACCCACCAAAAATTGCTCGACAGCGTCAAGGTTAACGTTGGCCTGAGAACACCGACATCGAGCGCCTCAAACCTCGCCTTGAACGAGCTTGACAGCATTATTTGTGTACTGGCATTGGATGCTGACTGGAACCCGTAAAGCGTTATTGATGAGGCGCTTCCACATGTGTGGAGAGAGTATAGTGCATAGGCAGATTCCAGAGATACAGACGCTCCGAAACACAATCTCCGACCTTGTCCCACTCTCGCTATCTTTCTCACCCGAACTCGTCTCCCAATCCACCCTGCCGTAGCAAGGCCATCAGACGCTCTCTGAGAGACTGCGCGCTGCAACCAGTTTCTGGCATCCGAGTGCGTTCCTTCCGTTTCTGCCCGAGGCGCTCGTCTTGTTATATCTGCACTCAAAGAATCGGGACACCGCCAGGCGAATATGATTGCATATGAGTAGAGAGTGAGGGATAGATCATGATGACTGCACTGTGGACGAGGACGTAGATGCGATGGATTAGGTGTCAACGAAGTATTGTAGTGCAGTGATGAAAGCAACGAGAAGTTGCTCCTTGCTGTTTGCAAATTGAGCGCTTTCCTTCCCACCGCGATGTCCCGCTTGGTTGTGTTACTACCTGCAGCTCTTCCATCTTCCAAACGTTGACGATTGGTCAGAAGGTTGTACGTTTGCAGTGAGAGCAGTGTTGGAGCGCGCGACGGCGGGGTGTGAGTGTTTTGTCTGTGCAATGGAGGGCATTGGGAGCTCGCGCACGTTCACGGTTCATGGTAAAATATCGTGTACAGCTTTGTCGAGCATTGGACTTCCGAGTCATCAAAATCGCCTGAAAACGCAACATCTTCCCTCAGACCACCAATGTCGAATGCAAATGCCTTGAACCTCACCTTGCACGACCTGTCTGCGTACTGGTGTTTGATGTCGACCTGCAAGGCGCTATCGACGTGAAGGTTTCATAATGGTAGAAAGGGCGCGACTGGTGGTGGCGGGGAAGTCGCGTGCTTAGGCGGATTCCAATATTCAGGCGCTCTGAAACACTATCCCCAATCCTGCCCCCGCGTCTGTGTGCGAGGTACTCGTCTGGCCATATTTGCACCCCAAAAATTGGTACAGGTGAACCTGCGCTGAGAGTGAAGGTTGGATTATGACGGATGAATGGTAGAGGAAGATTCCGGGGCACGGTAGATGCGATAGAGAAGATGTTGGTGTGAGCAAGTAATTCGCAAGTGATACATCATTGTATCGTCTGCGATTTTTGGCGGATTATTGAGGACGGTGGTGCAACAAATTCGAAGGCTGCGTCTAAATGGTGCTCGTCGGTGTGTTCCCCGCTGAGGATGGCAACGAGTGCGCGTTCCGGTAATGGTAGTCGGAGCGTGAGAACATTAGTACGCATCAGTCTTACTGGAGCCAGTCGCACTGTTCCTCCAGTCTGACGCGTTAGCTTCACTCCCTTCTCTTCCTTCGCGTCGATTGGACATCCACAAGTCTGCCATTCGTCTCTCAAGGACTCTCAGAACTGGGTCCCGATGTCCGATACATCCATCCATCCTCACCTTCCTTGCGCCCTCACTCAAACCCAGCACTCCCTTTCCATGGTCACCTATCACTGGCTCCAGCGAGACATTACGACAGACACACCATATCTATATCTATCACGATCAGATTCTTCTCGAAGATTATTTTAGAGAATATTCGGAGCACAGAGTACAGGCACCACCTTCGAAAGAGTCACACCCGGCTCTTTTTCAGTACAACCGTGGCACTATTCCCTCTCTAGTTCTTACTGCAGACCACCTCGAAGACAGTGAGAAGCGACTGATGCATTACTTTGCTGACCGGCCCCATTGATCCGCGGCACATGGGTTCTCGTGTCGTCCGAGAATGCCTAAGGACGAAAAAGAAGGCTTAAAACCACCAATAACAGGCGAATAAATCGTCGGTCTGTCGAAGAAGATTACCGACTATATATGGTGTCGAGGACGAGTCAGGGTTGGATCCCGATATGGAACGGAAGGATGTAGAGAGTTGATGTTGAGATCGTTGTTGCCCTAACGTCGAAGGCTAGGCATAGATTAATTGGATTTCTGGGGAGTGAAATATAGGCATGATCGCCCTTGGGGCATGAGCATAACCCTATCCCATGCTAGCAAGTAGAGATGACGATAAGGACGAGATGACATTGAACGGTTGTACAGTGCCGAAGAAAGGTCTTACCACCAAGTCCGAGTAGTAAGTCGCTACCCATTACGGATCGAAGGTCATCTTGTCGTCCCCAAAACTGGGTACACATCAAACAAAACGGATTTTTGAGGGGAAACGGACCTGTGTTTGAAAAAGCCAGACCGTGGACTTGAGAAATGCAAATCGTGGTTATTAGCGTAGGTGAGAGGCGTGGAAGAAGAACTTTGAGTATGGGCTTGTCGAATGCCTCAAACCTCGCCTTGCACGACCGGCGTTCGATGTCGACCCGCAAGGCGCTATCGACGTGGAGCTTTCATATTGGTAGAAAAGGTGCAGAGCTGGTAGAGGCGGGAGTCGCATGCATGGACAGAATCCAGAGATGCAGAAATGTTCATCGGTGTGCCTCCCACTGAGAATGGCAACGAGTTCGCGATGCTGACCGTTCTGGTGATGGTAGTTGGAGTGTGAGAACATCAGTACGCGCTGCTGACGTCAGTCTTACTCGACCTAGTCGCGTTCCTCCAGTCAGATGTTGGTCAGATGCGTTAGTTTTCCTCTCTTCTCTCCTTTCGCGTCTATTCATAATCTCAGAACTGGATCCTGACGTCCGACACATCCATCCTCATCTTCCTTCGCGCCCTCACTCAGATCCAGCACTTCCTTCCATGGTCAACCATCACTGGCTCCCGCGAGATGCCGCGTCACAAACGATTTCACCATTTCGATCTCTGGCAAGACGCACCATATTAACCATGATCATATTGTTCTCAAGGATTACTCTAGAGAATATTCGGAGCACAGAGTAGTGCGCAGGCACCACCTTTGAAAGAGTCACACCCGGCTCCTTTTCAATACAACCATGGCGCTATTCCCTTACAGATCAATCTGCACTCCCTCAAAGACAGCGAGAAGCGACTTGTGCACCAATTTTGCCGACTGGCCCCATTGATCTGTGAGACATGGGTTCTCGCATCGTCTGAGAATGCCCGACAAAAAAGAAAGCGAAAAACCACCAATAGCAGGTGAATAACTCGTCAGTCTGTCGAAGAAGATTACTGACTATGGTGTCGAGGACGAGCCAAGGTTGGATCCCGATATAGTACAGAGACTGACGATGAGTCGACAATCCAAGGTTTCGATGAAGAGGGACAATAGGAAGGGGATGAAGAAGGCATTGAGTTCAGAGATGGTTGGACGAGGACGACGAGGGCGAGGACTGCGAGGCTGTAGTTAACGAAGAGGCGTTCATCATTCGTGCCGAATCTTCGAAAATCCCCCAAATCCAAGGTTGACAAAGCGGTCTCCACGACGGTTCCCAAACCCAATCACTGCTACCGACATCTCCATCCTTGGCTCCGACTCTAACCTTCGTGACTGCGCAAACCCGCTCGTGGAGCTCTTCGACTATCATCGCTTTCGTATCACGACGAAATTCCTTAAAAACCGTGACATCATTATATGGTGTGCGAAGCTCATGCGGAGCGACGTCGATATGTTGAAGTTGCTGTATACGCAAATGGCGCGGGCTGAGGATCGTCAGACGAAAATCCGCTTGTCCGCCATTTCCAAGCTTAACTACGTTCGGGGCGAGCTTTACCCTATTGAGGATGGACTTGTGAAGAAGAGAAGGGACGATGAGGCGGACACTGGAGGACTCTCTGACTACCAAAAGGTATGCTTCTTAGATTGCATCCTAGTTTTGTCACTGACTATTCCTTCAAAGTTCGTCCTTGGATTTAATTCTGAGCGAGCAGTCCAAGTGGTATCGTGATGAGATTACCGGTACTTTCGACCTCGACACATTCGAAATCACCTACCTTCCTCCCATGAAATCAGTCGGCAATTCCACCGCTAGGCTCAAAGCCGACGAACTCTTGGGCGACGGTCAGCAACAGATTGTCGAACATCACCGTACCGAGAATCTCTGTCCCCTCTTCAGTCGATCAAGTCTTCTCTACAATCCCCACCGCATTACAACCTATGTCGAGAACATGCACCGAGATCTTGTACTCATTCGAGGCGCAAGACGCTTGTGTTTGTAACATGACTTGCTGTTGACCTCCGTGTTGCTCGATGTTGCAAAGGATTCGCTGGCGTCTTCGTTTGAGATATCTGTGCAGAACACCCGGTAGCTGAAACTCCGGCAACAGATAACGTTGATGAGCAGAGCTGGCCGAGACAGGGAGTTCTGGAGCTCGTAGAGAGGCTTGTGCTTCCAGAGCTCGTAGACGAACCATAAGGACTCTTCCATTTCGACGCTTCGTCCCGCCGACCTCGCGAGCAGTTCCCTGGAGTTACAGAGAAGAAGGCCGTCAAGCGATACCAAGTAACGCACGAAGCTTGCGACGAGAAGATCTTCGACTGGCTGGAAATTTTCTGTGTACTCGCGAGAAGAGACCGTAAAAACGGCGACATTCCTGAGGGAGATGGCGGTGGAGGAAGAGACGATTATACAGTTCGTCAAAGCTGACGGGAATTTCTGACCCAGAGGCCAAAGACATCACGAAACTTGACCTTCACGATCTTCTTCCTGTTGGTGTCGGTATCCTTTATGCTGGTATGTCGTGCCAGGGAAGATCGTTCGTTCCCTGGCGGAAGAGCTGTTCGCGGGTGGATTTGTTCAGGTTCTCGTGTGTACTGCGAGGCGTCAATCTGCTAAAGAATCTCTTTCCCCTCTTCAGTCACCCGAACCTTCTCTCACGTTAGAACTCATGTCAAGAATAAAGATCGAGATGTTGCACTCGTTCGAGACACGCCTTCCCGGGTTGCCGGACGCTTGTGTCTGCAACATGTGCAGAGACCTCCTCGACCTGAACACTTGCAGATGTGTGTTCAGGCTGTTTGGGACAGACTCTCTTTTGAGGCAGGTGCCACACTTTGAGCCAGAGTTGATTCAGAGGCTGGTATCGGATCTGTGTACGATATCATGGAGATGGAGGACGACAGGCGAACAGCGCTTTTGCAAATGACCCAGGCGCAGATGTAAGCATTTCCATACATTTGTTATTAACGTATCCTTATTTGATTTTACAGGCAAGACGTTGTTACGTTCGTCAACTCGTGCCCTCAACTCGTACCCTACGCTCGATGTCACGCACGAGCTTGTCAGCGGGATACTGTCAGCGGGGACTACACAGCGGGTGCTCCGATAATCCTCCAAGTCGCTCTCGCCCGGGACGTCGACGAAGATGACGAAGAAGGCGACCAGACAGTAATTGCACCATTCTACTTAGGGAAGAAGATGGCGAACTGGTGGCTGGTTGGCGAGCCTTCAACACGACAGCTATTGGTCATTAAGGGGGTGACGGTGACGAGAAACCTGGCCGTCCAGCTGGAGTTCACGCTGCCAAAGGGCAAGCATTCGTTGAAGTTATATGTGATATGCGACTCGTATGTAGGGGCGGATCATGATATCGGATTGGACGATATCGAAGTTGCGGAGGGTGAAGAATCTGACAGTGATGAGGACAATAATGATGATGCTATGGAGGTGTGATTTTTGTATTTTGATAGAGCTATCTTTTTTATCTGTAGTAACTGTATTGTAGTCGATGAACGATTTGTGAATCTGCTACGGTAGGAAATCCTCATAAGTCATACTAAATAATACGGAATGTCTGCCTGTTACAGAGAACGACCGGGGTCAAACCAACTTGAGGTGGGTTCTCATGTGTCGACAGACCAGGAAGGACCTTTACAAGAAATTCTTGGTTAAGGGTCTTCCCATTACTCCATCTTCCGACTCACTGGCTGCACGACTACTTTCTGGCAGAGATTGTGATCAAAATTACGGAGAACAAGCAAGATGCTATGGTAGGACGTACCAACTTTACGCTTTTTCGATGCTGAACTGACTCTTCTCACCAAGATACTATTTCACGTCACTCCTTACACTGCTTTTCCCAGTTCCTCCCTTGTTTAATATTCGATGAATACATAAAGAACTACTAGTACCTTGTAGCATTAGTTCGTGTTTTTTTTGGGCCCACAGCTGCATGAGTTCCTTGTAAGAGAAGTGAACTTTGCCACCTCCAGATATGCATGATGGCTACTCGAGTTAAGAAGAGCTACCACGCAATGTGTACTTGCTCAAATAAGAATATATCGACGTTTTTCAGTAATACGCAGTTTCTTTAACCTTCTACGTTCTTTTTTTCTAGGAATTTCCACCAGCGACACTTTCTCGAACATCCCCCCTGGCAGGCTTCGCCCAACAACCCAACGATAGCATGACATCCCCAAATCAACAGTGCCAGGATCAATCAGTGTATAAGTGTCTTCAGGTATCGGGTATGTGTGGTTGGCGATGATCTTGAATCCACGTTCTATCCCACCCTTGTTTTTAAAAATCAACTTTCCACGTCGAGGACCCCCTTCCACAACAGCCAACCCCTGCACCAACCCCTTTTCAATGTAGTACACATCACACGAGTCTTCATCCCCTGTCTCATCCCGATGAACAAAAATGTGAGGGCCATGATCATATGTGGGCAGAGGCTTCATCATAACCTGGTCCCACGATGGCCTCCATTTTGCGCGTGCATTTCCCGGTTCAGGAAACAAGGAGAACAACTCCCCCCGACCCAGCGTAAGCATCGAATTCACAAGTGCTGTCCATGCCTCCTCGAGAGACTGACCCTCATAGTATGCTGGTATCGTCTCGGGCCACAGAAGAAATGCCAGTCCTGCAACTTTGTCAACTGGTTTGGTCGACACTCGATTTTGCATCTCCCCCAGTGCCACAGACACAATACAATGTGTAATGTCCACCGTAGACTCCAGCTGCTTGTGAAACCTGGTCAGTAGCTCAGTCTCATACTTTCTGCCCTTACGCAAGTTGGCATGCATTGGTCCATTCGGTGTGTCCCCAGCAATCACCATCTTGTCCCCAACCTCCTGCAGTGTCCATGCACGTCTAAACCAACACCGATCACTATCCAAGTCGCCCTCCTTCAAACTCAAAGGCCGACCCAGCCCACTCAAGTAACACACCACTTCTGTCTGTCGATACATCGCCCCGATCACGGGCACATCCAGCTTCCATTCCTCTGTACGCATATCCTCCCCTGGACCACCCACCTGTCTCAAACACAGAACATCCAACCACGCGTACTCCAGTCCGAGGTTGAGCATCTCAATGCGGATCAGCTTGAGATCACTCTCTTTCGGGACAGGAACAGGCCATTCATATCCGTTGATAGGCGTCCACACGTCGGCGCGATCCTTCTCGTCCACCCACGCATGCGATATCGGGTCAGGCCACAGCCGCCACACGGCGCGGACGTCATCAATGTCCATGATCCACCGTGGGACCACCCGATTACTATACAGATCCCAGACACGTCGAGGTGGCAAAAATGGTTCGACGATCTGGTTACCAATGAGTGCTTTTCGTCGCTCGTCCCGGTCCTTTTTCTCACATTTACAAACATAAGCTCGTATAGTGCTCCAGTTGTGGGTGTACCATATCCGGCGGAGAAGGCTATATGCCATGCCAAAGTCGTAGTCGTTTGTGATACAGTCATCAAGAAGAGAAGAGAGAGATGGAGTGTCCAGGGCGTGTGATGTCCCGAGTGTCGTGTTGAGTTGATCCAAGAGGCTCTGAATGCCGAGGGTAGCGCAGGGAGTGTCGGCAAGGCGGGATGATATCACAGGCTTTCTACCGGTGTACGCCTGTTGCAATGGAACGACAATCGACGAATATGCTTGGCCCGTTTCAGTGGAGCTGGAGATGGTGACTGCTGGAAGAGAGATTTCCTGGGAACAGTATCAATTTTCCTCAATCTTCCCTCTGTTTGTTTGCAGATTGACTTACCTCCGGAGGCCATAGTTCATGGTCATCAAGCTCAGAATCATAGGTGTCAAAAATTATATTCCAAGCTTTGTTAAATAGCCGCTCTTCCGTGGTAGTAGTCTGCGAAGGCCTAATGGAAGATAATTCTAAATGCGAGGCGAGCGACGAGTCTGGTGTCACCTCCAAGACAGGACCAGGATCTTCTGAAATAGAACTACTGTGCTGCTCTTGTGGCTCACACGGCACGGTTGTGTCGGGATTTTCAAGTTCCGAGGTTTCATTAGGAAATGAATCTTGAATCGTCGGGGCAGTCGAAAAGACAGAGTATATGTGGTTCCAAATCAACATCACGCTGCCGAAAAGCCATTGGTATAAGACTTTGGATAGTGCTAATGCTGTCATACTGAGCACTCGAAACAAGAAGGATTAATGATACGTACTATTTCCCATTTTTCAGGCTCCCATGGGTATGCAGTCGAGGGAGTGCTAAACAAAAGGCTGTTTGCCTTGAGGCAAGCAGGTGCCGCAAGTCGCAGCTCGAATTCTCCGGACCGATGCTAGGGCTTCGTGTGAACAACGATACTCGCTGAAGGTGACATTTTCGTGTATAAAGAAACATGATGATGACGATGTAGAGGCCTTCTTCCTTTCGAGCTTATAAAGGTTGTGCCATAAGGAGTGGCTTATTTTGAGAATGTTGGCTTGGAGAGTAGGAACAAGTTTATTAAGTGAGATTCAAGACATGAATTTTGTCAAGGACGACAGATATAGGTAGGTTTATTTATAAACACCACTTGGAATAACCACCGTCAATGCCATATCCAACTGAATCTACCAGAAACCAGCTCAACGGCGCACAGCTTGCCATGCTGGACATCATACATTCCCAGCTGATCGCAGGCTGTCGATAATTCGAGCCCGTTGGCCCCAACTTCAATCGTGTCGAGTCGAGGTCTTCTACCCTTGATCGATAAGGAACCGAGTTGTATGGTACCGTCAGCACATGCACGAATGAGACGCGGCCAAATTGGATATCGGCAGCGGTGAGTTCGGCAAGGATTTTCCTGATGTCCCATAGCTCAATAACATCGAACGATAATACTGTTCCCCGGTCGGTTCGTGAGCGGTAGAGGAGGCTTAGAGTCTGCTGGTAGGTCGACCGTGAGTGGGTACACCCTCTTGATGCCGTCCTCGATAGTTCTTCCTATGAAAGCGATACTGTACGATGTCAAAGCAGGCCACCGTTTAAGTTCGCACGCGGGCTCCGACGTAGACGATATTTGAAAGGAGTTCGGATGAAGGATTATAAAGGTCGATGAGATATGATCACAGTGGCCAATCGACGCGTAGGGGAAAAAAGAGAAGATACTGCACGGAACAGGGAGTCGACGGAAATGGTCGAGGATGTTGTAAGCTCGGCGCGTCTGTTTGGTTTTGCAATTGGTGACGTCATACTTCTCAGGTTTCTTCCCAACGAGTACACGAAATTTAGCAAGCAATTTTTCTTTTTCTTTTCACAACAGTTCTGACCTTTCATTATAAAAACAAGGACAATCTCCCCGACGGATGCACATGGACCCTGAAGATGGAGTGCCCGTAGTGCAATTGTTCCTTTCTCCCTCTCGCGTTCAAGTCCAAGTTTAGGTGGTCAAACGAAAACGAACCCTTCACCAAGGGAAAAGAGCGCGTAGGTCTCCCTTCCTCCGCGTACGCGTACTAACTCTTGCCGACGGCTGTAGGGTACCCAACACGCGGCACTCGATCGTGTAGCAGCCCATCTTCCGAGCAGGAAGAGTACGGTTGTGGGAGGACGATTTTGACCGGGTATCGACGGTGTTTTTGAGTGACAGGGAGGAGGGTGTTTGCGCAGGAGGAGGATGGGAAGGGGAGTGGCGGAATTCGTGTTGGATCTCCTGCTCTACGATCTCGCCTTCGCTGTTCAAAACAGCTTTAAGCCTGCGATATATCTACCATTATGTACGTCCAGCATCCTTCTACCACTTGTAACTCATACCACAGCCACGTCAAGTCACCCTCAAAGTTCCTCTTTCTCGTCTCTCATCTCCGCTAGCAATAACCACAACGTAGGCTCGATGTTTCCCAAGTCCACGGTCTGGCTCCGAACCCTCGAAAATCCCTTTTGTTTGATGTGCCCCCAGTTTTGGCGGACGACGAGGTGATGTCTATAACGTGAGGCTGGGTAACAAGTACCTTCTCGTACCTCAGGGTGGTCCTCGCTAAGAAGGCCTTTCTTCGGCACTGCACAACTCCTCTTTAGCATGGAGCTTTCTGCTCGCTAGCATGGGACGGGGTTATGTTCGCGCCTCGAGGCGAGCACAATCATGCAGCACATCTGTGTTGTAAGTCTACATCTCTCTTGTCCCATTCATAAATTTGGCTAACTTTATACACCTAGCATTCGACGCTGGGACAACGGATACCTCGGTCTAAGCGCAGTCACAGTGAGGAGACCAGGTAATTATTACACTGTACTTTACACACATGTAAAGCGCGTAATCACACTGGGAATTTAATATATATAACGCTTAACTTGCATAATTTACCGTGGAGGATACGAAAGAAGGATGTATTCAGAGGACAAGATACACCGGAGAACAGGATTGGTACGGGTTATGTGCCGAGGATCCAGCCGGCCTGCATACGCTCCTCTAGCCCTTCGACTGCTCATTCAAGTTCCTCATACCCATGCTACGGTGATCAGAACAAGACGTGAACCAAAGATAGTATCCCGGACAGCGCCTCTGCTCTTCTCGACGCTCGCTACATTACGGGAAAGGTAGTGCTCAATGAAGCAGTACTTTAATTCCTCCCGTAGTTTCCTTCAACTACAACCGTTAAACACGTATCCCGCCTGCAACGAACGGGCCCTCAGTGAGATTATCCGTTGCGTGCAATTCGGCATGTACCACCGACACCCTTCCCAGTCTCATCGCAAGCGACTCTCCCAGAAAATACGCGGACTTTTCTCCACACGGATGTGCGGCGCCAAGCTCCGTCCGTTTCTCCAAAATGCACTAACAGGCGGTAGATGAAGGGAGAGGCCGTATCCGATGTTGTTGAATATTTCACCCTACCGCGAGGTGGCTGAGTTCCATATTTGTAGAAAGGGAGCAGCTGGTGGAGGCGGGGGACGAACAAATCCCATATGATATCGGGATGGCAGACACCCCAATCGTGAGTCACTATTTCCAACTTCTCATCTGTCTGCGGTGATGGGGAGTTAGTACTTCATCATTCGCTTGGTGCGGGTTGAGTCATTTGGTATGGGTTAGTGCCAGGAGGTCGTCGTCGGCAGCTGGGAGTAGTGACACAATGGATTGTTATTGCGAGCGGGGTCGCTCAGGTATGATGATACCACCGGGCGTTGTAGCCGAAGAGAGATGGGTCATTCATCCATTCTCTATCCCACTACACAAAGGTGCAGCCAGTAGATAAGAAGCATCGAGTGAATTTGGAGCTCCGAGGGGCAGTCCTGGCTTGGAGACGTTGAACGTCGACGATGGTCAAGAGGTTGGATGTCTCGCGGTGGGTGCGATGGCGAGGTGTGAGTGTTTTCGTCGCTTGCTGGGAGGGAGAACGTCTGTGCAGTGAAGGGCGCCCGGAGCTTGCACGCACTCACAGTTCGTGGTAGACTATCATGCACGGCTTTGGGTGTCCGATGATGGATATTTCACCGACAGGCCGTCTATAGATCCACCCACCAAATCGCCCGACAACGTCCGCTGATGTCAAATACCTCAAACTCCCTGTGCACGACCTGTCTGCGTACTTGACTTGCAAGGTGCTATCAACGTGGAGTTTTCATATTTGTAGAACAGGCGCGACTGGCGATGGCGGGGGAGTCGCGTGCATGAGCGGAATCTAAGATGTAGACGCTCCCGAAACTCCATCACCAACCCTGCTCCCGCCCCTCCCAATCTACCATGGCGAGGCCATCATCACCTTGGATCCCGCAACTGGTTTCTGGCGTCCGATGGCGTTCCTTCCGTTGTACGCGAGGCGCTTGTCCTGTCGTATCTGCACTCGAAAGACTTGGTACGGGTGAATCTGGTTGCGTGGGCGCTGAGAGTGAAGGTTGGAACATGAAGGCTGCGCGGTGGAGGAAGATTTGAGGTAGACGTGATAGAGGAGATGTTGGTGCGAGCAAGCAGTAGGCCAGTGCTCATAGAGACGCGTCAATCCATCACCTGTGGTTTTGTGGCGTATTAGAGGAGGGTATAACGAAGGCTGCGTCTAAATTGGAGGCAACGAGTTCGCGATTTCGGCCGTTCTGGTAATGGTAGTCGGCGCGTGAGAACATTCGAGCATGCACTGCTGACGTGAGTCTTACTCGATCCAGTCGTCCCTCTAGTCTGACGCGTTAACAGTACTCTTTTCCTTTCCTCGGCGTCGACCGGATAACCGACGGCTGCGCTTCATCCAAAAGCTGGGTCCCTACGCTTCACAATGCCCAACATATCCACGCTACCATCAATCGAACCCGGCACTCCCTTCCACCACCATTGGCTAATACCGCGTCAAAAACGATTGCACACCTGGCCTGACTCGCTGTATCGATGGGGTAGTTATGATCAACTCCTTCTCAAGAAATATTTTAGAGAAGATTTGGAGCGCAGCCGCCAGCTGAAGCATCTTCTAAAAAGTCACACCCCGCTCAGTACAACTATGGTATTACCTCGTTACTACAGACTGGCCTGCGCACCGAGTGCCGGATGGGGCGCCTGCTTCACTGAATGGTCGCATTGATCCAGGAGTCCTGTCATCCGAGAAATGCTCAGGGGCGTGGATAAGAAGAAAAGAAGATAGAAGAGGCCACTGGGCCTTTAATCGGCGAACAACTCGTCAGTCTGTCGAAGAATATTATCGACTCTGGCGTTGAGTGCGAAGCGGCATGATTAGATTCCGGCATGGAAGGGAAGGATATAGAGGTCGGCGTTGCTGGGGTTTACCGTTTTCGACGAAGAGGAACAATGGGAAGAGGACAGAGAAGAGTTTGAACTCAGAAACGAGTCGGACGAGGACGAGGGGGGCGAGGGCTGCAACTGACGACAGTTAGCGAAGAGATACTCATCATCGATGGCAAATCTTCGAAATCCATCGAAACCGAGGCCGTCTTCACGATGGTTCCAAAACCCAATCACCACTGCCGACAAAAACCTCCTCGTACACACTATCCTTGGCTCCGAGTCGAACCTTCGTGACTACGAAAACCATCTCATGGAACTCTTCGTATCAGAGCTTTCTATCACAACAAAAAACTCGCGACGTCATTTAAATCTCGTGCACCAAGCTCATGCGGAGCGACGCCGGTAAGCGCGTCGACGTTGAAGCTGCTGTATACGAAAAGTGCGCGGGCTGAGGATCGTCAGACGAAGGCTCGCCCGTCCGACATTCCCAAGCTTCACCACATTCAGAGAAAACTCTACCTCATGGCATTTGGTATCAATGAGTTCATTCCTCTTTGCACGCATTTCGGCGCTGGAAAGGTATGCTTCTTGTATTGCATCCTGGTTTCGTCACTGACTATTCCTTCATCCTTAGATCCAGTTTTGAACGAGCTATCCAAATATCATAATGAGAGTACCGGTACTTTCAAGCTTGACACGGCTTTGACTATCATCGCTTTCGTGTCACGGCGAAATTATTTAAAAACTGCAATGTGATTGTCTGGTGTATGAGGGTCCTGCGGGGTGACGCTGATGCGTGCGTCAACTCATTGAAATTGCTGTACACGACAAGGGTATGAGCCGGGGATCATCAAATGTTGTGTACTATTCCCAAGTTTCACCATATTCAGAGAAAGGGCATTTAACGTCGATGAGTTCATTCTTTGCGCTCTCACCAGTGCCGAAAAGGTATGCTTCCTCAGCTGCATCCTGGTTTCGTTGCTGACTATTCCTTCATTCTTAGATCCGATTCTGAACGAGCTTAACGAGACTACCGGTACTTTTGAGTTCGAAATCATCTATGTTACTCCCATGAAAGCACTAGTCCAAGAGATGGTCAGCAACTTCCCCACGGCTTCAAGTGTTTGGTATCACAGTCGGCAAATTCACGGACGACTCTCGGGGTGAAGCAACAGATTGTCGAACATAACCGTACCATCTCCATCCCCACTTTTGTCGTCCAAGCCTTCTCTACAATCCCCGCCGCATTACAACCTGTGTCGAGAACAAAAGCCGAGATCTTGTTCTCATTCGAGGCACGCTTTCCTGGGATGAGGTCGTAAGACGTTTGTGTTTGCAACAGGGCTCGGTGTAGACCTCTGCGCTGGTCGGTGTTGCAAAGGATTCTCTGGCGTCTTTGTTTGAGATGACTGTGCAGAACACTTGGTAGCTGAAACTGAGGCAACAGATGCCGTTGATGAGCAGAGCTGGCCGGGACAGAGAGTTCTGGAGCTCGTATAGAGGGTTGTGCTTACAAGTTCCAGAGCTCGTGGACGAACCAAAAGGACTCCTCCATTTCGATGCTTCGTCCTGCTGACCTTGCAAGCAGATCATCGGAGCTAGGCGAACAAGCGATACCAAGTAACACACAAAGCCTGCGACAAGAAGATCCTCGACTAGCTGGAAAGTATCACATCCTGGTTTTCGTGCACCCGCAAAAAGAGACCATAAAAACTGGCGACATTCCTGAGGGAGATGGCGGTGGAGACGGAGACGATTACTCAGTTCGTCAAAGCTGACAGGACTTTCTGACCCAGAAGCCAACATCATCACTAAACTCGACCTTCACGATCTTCTTGTTGGTGTTGGGCTGGTATATCGTGCACGGAAGATCATTCCCTGGTGGAGCTGTTTGCCGACGGATCTGTTCAGGCCCTCGTCTGTACTGCGAGGCGTCAATCTGCTAAAGAATCACTTTCCCCCCCTCAGTCACCCAAACCTTCTCTCACGTTAGAACTTGTGTCAAGAACACAGGTCGAGACCTTGTACTCGTTGGAGACACACCTTCCCCGGGTTGCAAGATGTTTGTATCTGCAACATGTGCAGAGACCTCAACCTTGAACACTCGCAGATGTGCGTGCAAGCTGTTTGAGACAGAGATTCCCCTCTGAGGCAGGTGCTGCACTTTGAGCTAGAGTTGATTCAGGAGGCTGGTATCGAATCTGTGTACGATACCATGGAGATGGGGGACGACAAGTGAACAGCGCTTTTGCAAATGACCCAGGTGCAGATGTAAGCATTTCCGTGCGGTTCTTATTAACGTATCCTCATCTCATTCTACAAGCAAGGCGTCGCTACGTTCGTCAATTTGTACCCGACGCTCGATGTCACGCACGAGCTTGTCGGCGGGGACTACACAGCGGGTGCTCTGATAATCCTCCAAGTCGCTCTTGCCCGGGACGTCGACGAAGATGGCGAAGAAGGCTACCAGGCGGTGATTGCGCCGTTCTATCCAGGGAAGAAGATGGCGAACTGGTGGCTGGTTGTCGGCGAGCCTTCAACGCGACAGCTGCTGGTCATTAAGCGGGTGACGGTGACAAGGAACCTGGCCGTCAAGCTGGAGTTTACGTTGCCAAAGGGCAAACATTCGTTGAAACTATATGTGATTTGCGACTCCTACGTCAGGGCGGATCATGATATTGGATTGGACGATATCGAAGTTGCGGAGGGTGAAGAATCTGATAGTGATGAGGACGATAGTGATGATGCTATAGAGGAGTGATTTTTTGTATTTTTTGATAATGATTTGTGAACCTGCTACGGTAGGAAATCCTCATAAGTCATACTAAATAAGGTGAAACAACTGCTTGTTTATTGAGAATGACTGGGATCAAACCAGATGGCCTGGGGCATCATCATGTACAGATGCTTAGCTCGCTGGGTTTTGTCAAATTGTCATGGGTGTGCAATACTACAAAAGGAAGGAGCACAGTCGACTATGTGGTCATGGATGTCCTGCAGATCTGCAGATGGTGGGTCAAGCATATTGGCCAAAAGACAACGAACGGTCGGGAGTCGGTGTGTCCTCATGTATCGACAGACCAGGGAGGACCTTTACAGGAAATTTTTGGTCGAACAGTGTCTTCCAATCGAGAGCCATCGTCCGACTCACCGGCTGCATGACTACTTTCTGGCAAAGATCTTTGAAATTACCGAGAATAAGCAAGATACTATGGTAGGACGTTCCACCTTCTGCGATGCTGAACTGACTCTTCTCACCAAGATATTTTCCCATCACTGCTTACACTTTTCCCAGTTCCTCTCTTGGTTAATTTTTGATGAATATATAAAGAGCTAGTACCTTGTAGCATTGTTTGGGTTTTTGGCCTTTATACCTGACAGCGGCTGCTTGTGTTCCTTGTAAGAGAAGTGAATTTTGCTGCCTCCAGATATGCATGATAGCTACTCAAGGTAAGAAGAGCTACTACGCAATGTGTATTCACTCAAATAAGGATATATCGACGCTTTTGGTAATACGTAGATCCTTTAACCTGAACTGGTCTTCACGAGAAATTTCCAGCAGCGACACTTTCTCAAACTTTCCCCCTGGCAGGCTTTGCCCAACAACGCAACCATAGTGTGGCCTCTTTCTGGGACTGGAGGCTTTAATCAGTGTGTAAGTGTCTTCAGGTATCGGGTGGCAGCGATTCCAGATCTATATTCTATCCCACCCTCATCTTTAACAATCAACTCTCCATGTCGATCACCCTCCTCCACAACATCCAACCCCCACACCAACCCCTTTTCAATGTACTCCACAATGACACACATTGCATGAGTCTTCATCTCCCGTCTCATCCCGATGAACACGGACACTGGGGTCAAAATCATATGCAGGCAGAGGCTTCATCATAACCTGGTTCCATGATGGCCTCCATTTTCTGCCTGCATTTCCTGGTTCAGGACATAAGAAGAAGAACTCCCCCCGGCGCAGCGCATCCATCGAATTCACGAGTGCTGTCCATGCCTCCTCCAGAGATTGGCTCTCATAGTATGCCGGTATCTTCTCGGACCACATCAGAAATGCCAGTCCCGCGACTTTGTCCACCGGGTTCGTCGACACCTGATTCTGCATCTCCTCCAGTACATGAAGCATCCTGTTAGCGACCGATACAACAAACAAGATCAAACAACTAAGCGTGACTCGCACTTCGGTCAGGCGCTTTATGTTGTCCGCAGGTTTGCGTTAAGGGAGCTATCGCTTAGTTGAGCGAGAGTGAGTTCAGACTAGGTTATCGGGTGAATAAACTTTAGTTCGAGACTGAGGTTTAAGACCTGCAGTCAGAGCTACTTAAATACAGTTTGGATCGTGCTAAATATACTACAAGTGTCTGCAACGGTACGATTAAACGTACTGAATCCGCATGGTAGAATGCGATCAAGTCCGGAGAATTAGCATAAGCGAGATTACGAGAGAGTCGATAAGATAAGATAAGCGTGCAAATCGTAATATTACCCCCCTGTTAAGGCAGTCGTCCCGACTGCAACGTAGTTTGGTTTTGGAAGGTAGGCTCCTACAAGAGAGGGTGCGTTTGGTTTTATCAGGTATTCTTGAATTGCCTGTACCAATGGGTGATCGGTTTCCGACTCTGTTACTGATTCATGTTCGGACCAGGAATCGGATTCGTCTTCGTTCTCCCACCACTCTGCTGGAGGTCTGGTGATGAATGAGACTTGTTCGAAGTCTTCGATTGCATCTCTGGCGTTGTCCAGGTCCTGCTCATCTACCCAAGAATTTTCCTCTCTGGGATACCCTTTCCACTTAACGAGGTATTCGATTCCCGTTCCGCGCCTTCGTCCTCTTCCTCTTGCTCTTTCTCTTCTGTCTACAATTTCCTCCACTTCATACTGTTCTTGTCCGTCTATGAGATCTGGTGGGGGAGGTAAGGGCTGTATTTGGATTGGGAACTCCGGCGGTTGATATGGTGTGAGGAGATTCTCGTTGAAACGGTCATGGATTTTCCACGCGGGGGGAAGTCGTAGTTTATATGCGGATGCGCCATGTTTGGAGAGTACTTCGAAGGGTCCCACTCGCTTGTCCCCCAACTTCTTCATGGGTCGGGGAAGAGATAGGTTTGTAGAGTCCAACCATACTTTGTCTCCTGGTTGGTACTCTATTGCCGCTCGTTGATGTTTATCATATTGCCGCTTCATGGTTATGATCTGCCCTTTGGGATAACAGGTCTGCCTTTTTGTTCGCTGTCCCTGGCTTGTGGTGGAGAGTGAAGTGATATTCGGTGAGCTCTGTTACCCATCGAGCTTGGCGGCGGTTGAGTTTTTGAGGCTTTCGGAAATACTGGAGATTTTGATGGTCTGTCCAGATTTCAAAGTCCTGATATGCCCTCATGAGGTAGTGCCTCCAGTCTTCCAGGGCTAGCATGATTGCCAGCAGTTCCTTGTCGTATATCTCGTAGTTCCGTTCCGTTACTGTGAGGGCCTTAGACAAGAATGCTACGGGTCTCCACTTCCCTTCCTGCTCTTGAGATAGAACCGCTCCTATCGCTCCTTCACTTGCGTCTGCTTCTACGCGGTATTTCCCTGTTTGATTCGGTATGGCTAGTACCACTTCCTCTGCTAGCTTCCTCTTTATCTCTTGAAACGCGTTTTCTTGAGATATTCCCCACGTCCACTCTGCTTTTCCCGTGAGTTGGGTTAATGGCCGTACGTGCTTGCTGTAGTCACGTATGAACCTTCAGTAAAAGTTGGTGAAGCCCAGGAACGATTGTAGTTCTCGCTTCTTGGTTGGCTGAGGCCACTCCATGATTCCTTTGACCTTGACGGGGTCCATGCGAATTGATCCTTGACTAATTATTACCCCGAGGTACTCGGTTTCTAATACCTCGAATTCGCATTTCTCCGCCTTGAGGAATAAATTATTTGTCCTGAGGATGGATAGGACTTCCCGAACCACCTTGCGATGCCTGTCTTTGTCCTTGGTACAGATCAGGATGTCGTCTAGGTATACTGTGACATCTCCTCTCGCGATCTGTTCTTTGAACAAGTCGTTCATCATCCATTGGAAGGTTGCCGGGGAGTTGGTGAGTCCGAAGAACATCACCATTGGTTCAAACAACCCTCGGTTGGTTCGGAACGCTGCCTTCCATTCGTCTCCTCCTTTAATCCTCACATTGTTGTATCCCCATCGTACGTCCAGTTTTGTGAAATACTTCGCGTCTTTAAGTTGATCCATCAACTCTCCTATAAGTGGAAGGGGGTATCGATTCTTTATGGTCATTTCGTTTAGCTTTCGATAATCCTGTACGGGTCGAAGCTTTCCGTCCTTCTTTTTGACAAAGAAAAACGGTGATGCCATTGGGGATTTGGATGGTCTGATCCTTCCTGATTCCAGATTTTCGTCAAGGAACCTATCCAGCTCTTCTTGTTCTGTGGGGTTAAGTGGGTAGACTTTACAGTCTAGGCTTGCGTTGGCATTGGGAATTAGCTCTATGGCGTGATCCCATGGTTTGCGAGGTGGTAGTTCATCGAAGTTTTCCTTGGCGAACACGTCTCGGTATTCTCGGTACGGTTCGGGTACTATTTCTTCGAAGGATCTGGCTTCCTTTGCTTGATTGGCTTTGGCGGCTAATTCGTTGGCCTTGCTCCCCATAGCTTGTACGTGAAAGGCTTCTTCAAAGTCGATCACTAGGATTGTGTCCCCTTCTTCTATTTCCGCTCCCCACTGCTGTTCTGGGTCTTCGTCTGGTAACTGGAATGGTATTTTGCGGCATGCGCATCTTGCTAGAGTTACTGCTCCGGTTTTCCAGTCGATGATTGGATTATGGCGTTTGAGCCAGTCATGTCCTAGGAATAGGGGTACGTTTCCTAAGTCAACGACGGCGAGATCGATTTTTTCATGATGGTCTCCAATCGTCATTCGAAGTTCCACAACTTCGGTGATGTCTCCTCCTTTATTTCTGCTGCCATCTGCGTTGTATACTGCTTGCGCCTTGGGTAATTTTACGGTGTTCATTTGGTTTTCCTGTACGAACGCTCGGTTTATGCAGCTTCCAGTGCATCCGCTGTCAACTAGAGCGTCGACCGCCTGTACCGATCCAGTGTCCAAGGTTTCGAGTTGTACCCGAACATTGACGCTCCTTCCTTTTCCTCCTCGAATGTACTGTGGGGGTACGTGCAGGTCCTGCATGTTCTGGAGGCACTGTTCTCGTTGTCGGTAGGTTTCCTTGGAGGACCCGAGAAGGTCCACTACGAGGTCTTCGTCTACTTCAATGAGTCGTCGGGGATGTACCCACATTCGGAGAGTAGTGAGTCTCCCGTCCATGGTTTTTTCCTGTCTCATCTTCCTTCTTACCCATTCCGCGCTATGTGGCTTGAGCCATCCTTTGTCCCATTTGTCATTGTAGTATTCTTCTTCTAAGTCAATTACCTCGTAGTCTTCCGGGTACTCCTCGGTGTGGATCACCGGGTCTTCCCCTCGTGATTTAAGACTCTGTTGATAACTGTAGTCGTCTTCCTCATCGGGCACTTCTTCGATAGAAACGTTCTTTTTATTACAACTGGGAGATGCACATAATGGTCCCACCGACCCGCCCACCGGGGAACACGAGCCCCCGGTGCCATTATGCGTTAGTAGCGAGGAAGGGAGACGCACCGTGATTGGGGGAGGATGAATAATGTCCCCGGTCGTCTGGACTGTTGTTTGCGGGGCGGCGGTTTTCTTGATGGGGATTCGCGTTCCCTCTTGCGGCTCCGTCGTGTCGGGATAGTTGGCCGCATAGGGCAGGTGCGTATGTTCCGCCTTCGGGCGAGGCCCTGCATCGTTCCTCTCCCGCCTGGAGGTGCCTTCGCCCACTACTAGCTCGGCCGCTCTCCCTCCGTTTTTTGCGCCGGTACCTACCCTCCACGGAGCGATGTTGACCTTGATCCCGGTTGTCCCGCCGCCTTGCGCAGCATGCGCTGCTTGTGCTTTCGCACCGGTGGCCAAGGATCTTGAGTGGGGTTCTTCTTCGAGCACGGTGGAAATCCCCTGTACACCGTTCTTCTTTATATGCGACTTGATAATTTCATTTTGTGATGGCGTGAAAGATTTGTCATTTCCTCGAGATACTACATGCGGTACATTAGTCCGACCTGCGGGGTTCTGTGACGCACCACTAAATGAAATTATGTCCTTTGCCGACGTGCGTTTGTCGCTTACGCCGCCGGCTCGTCTTTTACCTCCTCGATCTTCGATGTTGAGGTTTCTCCTTCTTCATCCTTCAATACTTGTTGATACATTGCACGAATTTGGGCACGCGAGAACTTGGGCTGGTGCTTGACGAGCCACGTACTTTCGTCCTTGGGGCATTTGTTGTCTTGCTTCCGATGTCCCTTGTGACCACATCGGAAACATTGACCTTCCTTGCGGAGACGGTCTATTTCCATGGGTTGGCCTTGGCCCCCGTACGTGGTGCCAGTGCCCGTCTTCTTATCACCCTGGGAATTCCCGGGGCTTCCGGCTTTTCCCGTTCCCTTGTTCTGTTGTCCCTGCACCCCCTGGTTTCTTCCTGCATCTTCGGCTAGTCCCACTCGGTAATTATAGTCCATCTGTTCGACTCGGAACTTCCATTCTGCATACGTGCACGGGAGCGCAGTTCCGGTGGCGTGGATGGCGGTTTTTACGTTTTTCCGAATGGCCGGTTTGAGGATTTCGATCATGTATTCCTCATTGTGTCGCTTGCCGGATTCTTTTGCCAGTCGTTCGAAGTTGCGGAAAAACTCTTTGGCCGATTTGTACATATTCTGCCGGAGGCGCTTGAACTCTTGTAATTTGAGTTCTACCTCCGTGTCGGTACGGAATTGGTCTTCGATTATTTGTCTGAACACGTGCCACGCGGGGTATCGCAGATAGCCGCATGTTTCGTCGTAGTATTCGTCCCTTGCGTGATTCCACCAGTGTAGGGCTTTATCAGTAAGTCGGAATGTGCAGAACACTACCCGGTTTGGGCTTTGTCCGTGCGCGTTCATGGTGAATTGTTGAGGGAATACGTTGAAGTAGTCCTCGCACTGGTTGAGAAATCGGTCCACGTCACTGGATTCCCCTTTGAATTTCTCGGGTGGATCCGCGAGTTGCGGCTTTACTTGCCCCCACGGATTTGTGTTGGCTACTCCGACGATGAATGGTGGCGGCGTGTTTGGGGGTTGTACAGGGTCGGCGGGGATAGGTATCGCTGCCGGGCGTGGTAACGATCGTAAAGCGGGGTTGTGATGTGGGGACATGGGTCCTTGCGGCGCAGGGGGTGGGGCCACAGGAACAGCTGCGGCTGTGGCTGCGGTTGCACCCGGGCTTCCTGGGGTTCCTGCCCCTGCGAAGAGTCGGCTAGGGTCAACGTACCCTGTTCTTTGAAGGATAGTCAGGTGTTCTAGATTCACCGTGCTTCCGTTTGACGTTTCCGATGGTACTGGCACTTGATACCTTTCTCCGGGGTCTGTATAATCGTCCGGGTGTACTTGGTTCCATAGAATGTTTGTGTGAAAAACGGTTTCTCGGTAAATTACCTGGGCCCTGATCTGCGATGTTTTTTCCTTTTGGAAGTACCTTCCTTGCGGCGAACTGTTCCATGACAGTTCTCGTGGCAACTTCTTTTCAGTCCATCGCAACATTTCCAAATAAGTCATATTTTCTAGCTCGGCCTCAGTAGGCTCCCGAGCTAGATCCTTCCACGAATTCGGGGATAATATCCTCCTCTCCGTATTCTCCGACCCTATGCTGCTGCTGTAAGTCGAAGTCCACCCTATTCCAGGGTTCTCGTAAATTTCGCCTTCTTCTAAGTCCGATAGGTCGGACTCGCTCGAAAGGCTCCGTGCTTCCTGTGACGATACGGTTCCAGTTTCTGATGATTCGGGCCCACTCATTGACCCTGAGAATGACCTGATCGAAGTCGGGTCTTCGGGGTCGGTCCCATACCCAAGGTGCGATGTAGGGGACGGGGGCCGCAAGGGGGTGTTCGGCCGCGAGTGGGTAGATGGCGTAGGGGACGACGGATGCAGGGGGTTCGATTCCCTCGTACATTCTCCATGCGTCGGCATAGTCCTGTGTGCGTCTGCATATATCGCAGCTGGCGTCGGCGTCATATGTGGGCTCGCACTGGTCGAGCTCAGTAGTGGCTTCCCCGGCCCTATCGTTGATGATGATCGGGGTGTTTGGTCATGTGACGAGGTTGAGGTAGCTGCCTTCGTCATCTGGGGAGTCGCTGCGGGCGTAGTGGTAGCCCCACGTTTCCCCTCTTGAATCGAGGCGGGGAGGGGACCAGTTGTTGCGCGGCCCTGGGAGCTCGTCGCCATCACTGTCCTCTTCTGTATCGCTGCTTTCTTCATTTGAACTGCTTCCAGTTCCATCTTCAGCCTCTCTTCCTTCTCCCAGATGATATCTAAGCCCTCTTTGATAGAGGCGTTGTCCATACGAATCATATCCAGGGTTGGCGGCTGAGTTTTCGGTTGAGGTGGGGGAAGGGGCATCCCAGGGGCTACTTCCTTCGTCTTCCCCTTCGTCTTCCTCCTCGGTAATGGGAGAGAGAACACGCTGGTCCACCCCTTGTTCGTAGACTCCTCGCTCTTCTTCTTCTTCAACGACTGGGCCTCTTTGTGCGGGCCATCCTTCCACTTCGGACTCACCGGACTCGCTTGTGTCGGAGTCCTCTGTGATCCACTCGTTATCTGTGATGAAGATGAAGTGGATACAGGGTTCAGGTCTGTCGTTGACATATTCAGGAGGGGGTGTGTTCGGTCGTCTAGCCTCCGGGTTGGGGGCTTCGACGGGGATAGTTTCTTCGGAGACTGGCTCCTCATTTCGTCGGTATTCGTATCCATATAGGAATGCGAGATAGGCTATGGCTACAAAGCCTTGTAGTCCAAAGAGGTCGGTGAGATATTGTTCGATGGGGTTCATTCATTACTGTTCGTCAACGTGGTTGTTGATGAAGAGTAGGAAAGTCTCGAACTAATTGTTAGCGACCGATACAACAAACAAGACTAAACAACTAAGCGTGACTCGCACTTCGGTCAGGCGCTTTATGTTGTCCGCAGGTTTGAGTTAAGGGAGCTATCGCTTAGTTGAGCGAGAGTGAGTTCAGACTAGGTTATCGGGTGAATAAACTTTAGTTCGAGACTGAGGTTTAAGACCTGCAGTCAAGCTACTTAAATACAGTTTGGGTCGTGCTAAATATACTACAAGTGTCTGCAACGGTGCGTTAAACGTACTGAACCCGCATGGTAGAATGCAATCAAGTCCGGAGAATTAACATAGCGAGATTACGAGAGAGCCGATAAGATAAGATAAAGCGTGAAATCGTAATACATCCAATACAACTTGTCCTTTGTAGACTCCAGCTGCTTGTGAAACCTGGTCAGCAGCTCAGTCTCATACTTCCCATCCTTACACTCAACATGCATTGGTCCATCCGGTGTGTCCCCAGCAATGACCCTTTCGTCCCCAATCTCCTGTAGTGCCCATGCATGTCTAAACCAACACCGATCACTATCCAAGTCACCATCCTTCAAACTCAAAGGCTGACCCAGCCCACTCAAGTAAATAACCACATTTTGCTGATGATACACTGCTCCAATGGCGGGCACATCCAGCTTCCACTCTTCTGTGTGCATATCCTCCCTCCCTCCACCCTCCTGTCTCAAACAGAGAACGTCCAACCATGCATACTCCAGTCCGAGATTGAGCATCTCGATGCGGATCAGTTTGAGGTTGGCATCTTTTGGGATGGGAACAGGCCATTCATATCCGTTGATAGGCGTCCACATGTTGACGCGATCCTTCTCGTCCATCCATGCATGCGATATCGGCCGAGGCCACCAGTGAATGTTCATGATCCACCTTGGCACTACCCGATTGCTATACAGATCCCAGACACGTCGGGGTCGTAAATCTGTATGGACAATCTGGTTTCCGATGAGTGCTTTTCGTCGCTCCTCCTGGTCTTCTTCTTCCTGTCTGCAAAGTACATCTCGTATGGTGCTCCAGTTGTCGGTGTACCATATTTGGCGAAGGCGGCCATATGCCACGCCAAAGTCGTAGTCGTTTGTGATGCAGTCTTCAAGAAGGGAAGAGAGGGATGGAGTGTCCAGGCTGTGTGATGTTCCAAGTGTGGTGTTCAACTGATCCAAGAGGCCCTGAATGCCGAGGGTAGCGCAGGGAGTGTCAGCAAGGCGGGATGATATCACAGGCTTTCTACCGGTGTACGCCCGTTGCAATGGAACGATGATCGACGAATCCGGTTGGCCCGTCTCAGTGAAGGCAGAGATAGTGACTTCCGGAAGAGAGATATCCTGAAAATAGTATGCTATCAATCTCCTCTCCATTTGTTTGCCGACCGACTTGCCTCCGGTCGATGCCATGGGTTATCAGACTCACTGGCAGAAGATGTGTCAGAACCATAATCCGTAGTGTCACTAGATGATTGTTCTTCCATGGGACTAGCCTCTGAATCCCCGACACGGGATGGTTCTGGATGTGAGCGCGGCAACGAGTCTGGTGTCGCCTCCAAAACAGGGTCAACATTTTCTGAAATAGCACTACCGCGCTGCTCTTGCGGCTCGCACGGCACAGTTGTGTTGGGATATTCGTCAAGTTCAGAGGTTTCGTCAGGAGGTGGACCTTTAATAGCCTGAGCAGTCATGAAGACGGAGTATATGTCATTCCGAATCGACATCATGCTAGCGAAAAGTAATTGAACTTTGGTCGGTGCTAATACGATTGTATTCAGTAGTCGAAATGAGAGGGACTAATGACACATACTAGTCTTATCTTCCAGGCTCAGGATGGGTGGGCAGTCAAGGGAGTGCAAAATGAAAAGCGATTGCCTCTAGGGAGGCAGTGTCGCAGGTCACAGCGTGAATTCAACTCCGGACTGATGCGAGGTCTTCGTGTGAACAGGATGGTGGAAGTCTTCATCCTCTCATGCTCATAAAGGCTGTACCACAAGGGGCCGTTTGTTTTCGGAATGTTGGCTTGGAGATTGGAAACAAGTTTATTGGGGCAAGGATTGGTGGAATGAGGTCAAAAGCATAAATTTTGTCAAGGATGCCACGTATAGGTAGGCTTATTTATAAGCGCTCTTTCGAGTAGACGCGCTCTTTATGTCCGTTTGATATCTTCGAATATGGCCGGACAGACGCCGCAGAGGTATACTCTTTCTATTCTCCCAACCTATCTGCTCAGATCGCGGTCATCCAATCCCCCAATGACTCCCCTCGAGCTTCATCCTCGATATGGATAAGATGGACCCGTTTACACAATGAAGTAGAACCCAAGGTCGGAACGGGTGCTCTAGAACTTCCGCCAAAAAGTAATAGCATTGGCGGGTCAAAAAGTATTTGATTGCAACCCAGAATATGCAAGGATGCTGACGCAGAGGTTAGGAAACGACGAGACAGAAATACGAATTCGTAGAGTTCTTGAGTCGAAGAGAGTTCATCGAACGGAGCGAGAGGAGTATAATATGTATATGAACGTGGCTGACATGTCTGAATGCACCAAAGTCCCCAGCGCCGGTGCTTATCCTGACCACCGTCAATATGATATAATCTGCCAGAAATTGGCTCCATAGCGCACTGGCTGCTTCCTTCTCTGCCCTCGCTTGCGCCAAGCACGCTATGCTTGACAGCATACACTCCCCAGCTAAACACCGGATGTCGATGATTCGAGCCGTTGATACCAACTTTGCTCACGTCGGGTAGAGCTCTTCCGCTACCTTGATCGATCTGGAACCAAGTTGGATGGTACCATCCAGTGATGGGACGCTATCGAGGTCAAAATCAGATGAAGGTAGCCGTAGATCTGGCAAGAATCATACCTGATGTTCAATAGCCTGGCAGCGTCGAATGATGGACTTGGCAGACGTGGTAGTGAATCCACAACAGAATCGTCGTATGGGATCAGCACCACATGAGGTGTCTTTTCTGCGGAGATACTTTTGCCTAAGAAACAATGATTAGTAGGCCGGACATACTATCTAAGAGAATAACTCAACGGTTATACTGTAGTATGGATGATAGATAACTTCCTCCTCCGGTTCTCCATTCAGAATCGCGTGTTGGGTTAGTGTCGGTCCGCGTAATCTTCAAGTTGGGGAGAAGGGAGGGTCGGGTGATCATCAGAGCGAAGTGACCAAGAAAACAAGAGAGGATATGCCCGAAAGAATCTATGATGCTTCCTTGAATAGGTCTGCTTGGATCTGAGGATGAAACGAATATACAAATGTGGTCTAGTAAAATTCGAATAAGTTATAAAGAAGGCATGTATGGTGACAGACAAGACTCACAAATTCAACGTTCACAACTTTAAACGGAAAAAATTCGGCTGGAGGAAGGGAACGGTGGAGAAGTCGGGAGAGAGAAAGGGAGGTGAATTCGGCGATCATTATTGAAGGAGTGGAGGGCGCATACAGCGAGCGAGTCGAGGTCGACATGGCACGTTAAGTTAGGACTTGTTTTCCTCGTTATTTATTTGCTCTTCTGCTCTACAAGTATTCCACGTCAGGGAATAATGAAGGTTGGCGCTGAGATCTGAGACCTGAGGCCTGAGATTCGAGAGATCCTGCTCCGTACAACGCGCTGGTATTGGCACCGATATCCTTCTACCCCTGTCCCCGCCAAAGTCTGGTTTGCGAATCACCTTCTGTGTCGGCACATTTTGCTGTACGACATCGAAACAGGCCGTTGTTCGAGTTCATGTAGGCCGCACGCATCTGGATCTGTTTGCTTTTATAATGCCGGATGCGAGGTAGGTCATCGACGACATAGGGAGAAAGAGAAGAAGAGAACAGAGGTCAGGAAGAAATGATGAGATGCAGCATGCTGCACGGGACGGGGGAACTTGAAGTGTGCGCATCTGCTGCCCTGCCCTGCGTCTGCTTGGTTTTGGTGACGTTACGCTTCTTGTTCCTTCCCAACAACATACTGAGACTCACGGCAAGCAATATTTCTTTTCCCTTCTTGTCCCCTTTCATTCCAGCTGGCTAGGACTACCAAACACTCAAGACCAATGTCAATTTCCACGCGACGGACGCAGTGCGAAAAACAGACGTCGACGTTGGTGGAAGACTGGACTCTGGAGACGGCGATGAGAACTGTCTGACTTGTGCATCTCATCTGAACACGTCTTCCGAGCCTCATGACTGGTTTGCGAGTATTTCGTCGTTCGCTTGGTGCTGGTTGAGACTTTAGGTATGGGGGGTTAGAAGTGCTGGGAGGGTGTCGGAAAAGGATACGGGCCATTCATCCGTGCGGCAGTCCTGGCTCGACATTGACGATTAGTCGGGAGGTTGCATGTTTGCGGTGGGAAGAGTGTTGGAGCTTGCGATGGCGGGGTGTGCGTTTGCTGGGAGGGAGGATGTTGGGCTTCCGATGTTGGATATTTCACAATCGCCCGACAACGCCCCTTCCACACCTTGACCCTCGCCTTAACACGGCCTGTCTGTGTATCGGTGTTCGATGTCGACCCGCAAGGCGCATCGACGTGGAGGTTCCGTATTTGTGCAAACGGTGCAGCTGGTAGAGCCGAGAGAGTCGCGTGCATGAGCGGAATCCAGAGATGCAGACGCTCCGAAACACGATCCTCAACTCTTCGCCGCTCTCCAAACACGTCTCCCAGTCTACCAGGGCAAGGCCATCGGAACTATAGGCCCCACAACTGGTTTCTGGCGTCTGACTGCGTTCCTTCTATCTGTACTCGAGGTGCTCGTCTTGCCGTACATGCCCTCGAAAGACTTGGTACAGGGTGAATCTGATTATATGGGTGCTGGGTTGGATTATGATGGCTGAACAGTGTAGGAAGACTCCGAAGTGAGGTAGATGTGATAAAGAGGATGTTGATGAGAGCGAGCAGTCGGCAAGTGTTCGTAGAGATGCATCAATGCATCGTCTGCAGTGTGCGGCAGATTACTGAGGATGGCGCAACGATGACCGCGTCTGAATTGGACCTGAGCTTTTTCCATCGGCCCAGGATCCTATCAGTTGGTGCTCGTTGGTGTAATTCCTATTGAGGATGGCAACGAGTTCGCGATTTCGGTTGCCGTTCTGGTAATGGTGTTGGTCGGAGCGTGAGAACAGCTGAGTACGCGGTGTCGACGTGACCGTCTTAACTCCGCCTGGAGTGGATGAGCCGCCCCTCTCCATCTCTCCCATAACGGCCTATCCGCTTTCATGATCGTCAGTCAAACCCTGCATACCCTCCCATCGCTACACTGCTATCCCACCCATCACTGGCTCCCATGAGATGTCGCGTCAACATCGATTTCACCAACAGCTCGTCAATCTGTCCAAGAAGATCATCGACTATGGTGCTGAAGACCAGGGAACGCACCGTGCAAGGGTTCGATGAAGAAGGACAAGAGGATAAAGAACATGCGGGGACGGCAGCGAGCGGTGAATCTTCGAAATCCACAAAATCCAAAGCCGACAAAGACACTGTGAATATAGATCACTGAAGTGCACCCAGACCCACCCACCACTACCGACAAAGCCTCCTCTGTACTCTCCCTCCCGGACTCCGAGTCCAAACTTCCTCACTGCGAAAACAGACTTATGCAACCCACTACCACGGCGAAACTCCTCAAAAACCGCGATGTGATTATTGGTGGACCAAGTTCATGCGGATGAACGTGGCAGCTCTTTGAAGTTATTATGTCCTATATACTGGGCGTGGGACGGATCATTTGCGAACAGGTGGGGGATCGTCAGACGAAAGCTCGCTCGTCCACCGTTCCCGAGCTTCACCACGTTCAGAGCGAGATATACCCAATGTGTCTATTCTTTTCGCACCTACCAGCGTTCGAAAGGTAAGCTTGTCAAGTTGCAGCTTGATATCGCTGCTGACTACTTATTCTTAATACCTAGACCAATTTTCCTATGCTATCAAAATCCGCGAGCTTACGAGCGTCTCTCAAATGTCGAAATACCAACATCTTTGTACCAAGAATTCTATTTCTCTTTTCAGTCATCCTAGCCTTCTCCACGTCCCTATCAAAACTCGCGTCGAGAACAAAAGCCAAGATCCTGTGGTCATTTCAGACACCGCACGTTCCAGAGATATCGATAAGGTCGCGAGACGCTTCTGTGGACTCTCCGGTACGAAATAGAACTGAGTCTGAACACTGGCGATGCGCCGTTTGTGGAACAGGCAAAAGGTCCGCCGGCGTCGTGACATGATAATCGAGGCTGAAGCGACAGACGACGTAGAAGAAACGGCTGGGCGACGTTTGACACGAGCTGGAGCTCGGAGAGTAGACGAATCAAAGGGACTTCGCTCGCTTCGTACCGACGTTGTGGGCAAATCATCAGAGTGACACAACATCTACGTCCGCTACGAGAAAGTCCTCGATCAGGCTAACCCTACTTTCGTGGAAAGAGAAAGCAACAACGGAGAAATCTTTGAGGGACGTGGCTGGGATACATGTATCTGTAAGTTATCCTCTATCTCGACTGTCCCTTCTGTTACTAAAGGGTACGACGCCAAGTTGTTGGTGTCAATTATCAGGATGACGGCATGGCTTGATCCAAACACATGCCGATATCGTCCTCTCTGCAGCTTCGTTACTAGAGAAGTACTAGTGGTCTTGGGGGTGATTCCAGGGTACTGAGTTGGTCGCATTACTACATGATATACACGGTGTACAACCGGCCAACAATGTCGACTCTGGAACTGTTCCGTGTTTTTTCGCTACCGAACGAGTTCATGCTGTTCCCTGTACGTTCAACCATTCCAAATAGTTCGTTGCATTAATTCTATCATTTAGGTCTGTCAAGAAGAGCTTGCGAAGCTATCCCTATCCCTGTGAGAGAAACAGAGCCAGCGGTCAAAATGAGATTCAGTGGCTCTTCTTCAGGCACTGGTTTGTCAAATCGACAACTTCTTCGTTCTTCGTTGGCTAACTTTACATCTGAGATTTGTTCTTGTCGCGTTCGTTCAAGAATCAGCCGGGTGGTATGTCGATTTTCTCCTCGACTTTTGGGTATGCTAATCCAATTGTAGTATTCTTTGAGCGATCTTTGGAATATGTCTGAGGCATTCTTCTTTCTAATAAGCTACTCTTACTCACACCCAATGTGCCAGTGGGACGTACTTTCTCGTCGTTGGCATCAGCGGAAGAATGTCCAGAATATCGGGCTTCTGATAGCTGATGCAGTGGAGAAGTAGGTCCTACATACGAGGTTGTCATCTCCCAGGACACGATATGTGTCTGCCCAAACAGAAGTAAAGACTCGGATCGTTGCGTGTGGGGTTTCGCTTGCGAATGCGCGCAACCTGGGTGAATGGATGGGCGCACCCTCTCATGCTATCTTCAACTTCTCGCCTGGGTACGGACCTTCTTCGCTCTTCGACTTGTGCTCATTGGTTTTTCTCGATTAGTGCACGGCCTCTGGACATGGATATCCATCTACAATCATTCACAATACCGCACTTCCCTTCCCTCATGATCGCCATGTCGAAGCCAGCATACTTAGCTATCGTCGAATACGCACCCACAAAACTTGTCATCGTCTTTGTCCCCTCACAGAAACAATGTCGACTCACTGTCGACGATCTGCTTATTCACTGCGCTGCGGATGACAAGCCAGACAGGTTCCTTAACATCGAGGTCGCAGATATACAAGTTCATCTCGACCATCTGCGGGACGAAGGATTGAAGGAGATGTTGAAGAAAGGCATCGGCTATTTCCATGAGGCCATGGATAAGCAAGACAAGCGGATTATCCAGCGTCTGTTTGAGAGCGGAGCTGTTCAAGTGCTCGTGGCTTCAAAAGATACAGCATAGTCAATCGCCATGGCCAGCTACATGGTTATCATCGTGGGTGTGCAGTACTACGAAGGGAAGGAGCACCGATACGTCGACTATCCTGTCATGGATGTCCTGCAGATGATGGGTCGGGCATGTCGGCCGAAAGACGACGAACGGAGTCGGTGTGTCCTCATGTGTCAACAGACTAGGAAGGACTTTTACAAGAAATTCTTGGCGGAGGGTCTTCCGATTGAGAGTCATCTTCCGACTCATTTGTTACATGACTACTTCCTGGCGGAGATTGCGGTGAAAACTATCGAGAACAAGCAAGATGCTATGGTAGGGTGCTTTGCCTTTGGCGCGATGCTGAGCTGACTTTGTTCTAGGATATTTTGACGTGGATTTACTTCTATCGCAGGATGACGCAGAATCCCAGTGATCAAATTACGGAGAATAAGCAAGATGCTGTGGTAGGACGTTTTACCTTTTGTGATGCTGAATCGACTCTTCTAACCAAGATATTTTCGTGTCACTCCTCACACTTTTCCCAGTTCCTCCTTTATTTACTTTATTTAATTTCCGATGGATATATAAAGAACTATTAGTACCTTGTAGTATTAGTTCAGGTTTTTTTTTCCGGCCGCTCCTTGTAAGAGAGGCGATCTTTACTGGTCCAATGTACGGTTCTACCTTCATTGTATAGATGGATCGGTCTCATCCTTATAGAGAATGAAGCACAAGGGGAGCCGTGGGGGAATTGGACGAGCGCCATCCGAGCAGATAGGTCGGGAGAATGGATAGAGTATACCTCTGCAGTGTCTGTCCTGCAGTGTTGGACAGGAGCTTTGGGCGCTTTACCCGTTCGTCCAAGCGCTAGATATCCCAATGGGCATAAGGGGCGTGCCTATTCAGTAGCGCTTCTGTAATAATAAATCTATATGTGCCGTCCTTGACAAAATTCCAGCTCTTCACCTCATTCCACCTCTCTTGCCCGAATAAACTTGTTCTCAATCTCGAAGCCAACATCCCCAAATCAAGCGGATCTTTGTGGTACAGCCTTTATGAGCACCAGAGGAGGATGATCTGCTGTTCACACGGAGACCTCGCATCATCCCGGAGAATTCGAGCTGTGACTTGCAACATCTGGAGGTAACCCCCTTTCCTTCCTTCCCCCCGTTTGACACTCCCTTCAAGTTGACGTTCTGAGCCCGGAGAATACGAATAAAATCGTTTTTTGGGGGTATGATGCTTGATTCGGATGACGATACCAGTGACTGGCCTCCGGAGGTGAGTCAGTCAACAAACTGAAGCAGAGGAGAAATTGATAACACCTCTAGGGGATCTCCTTTCCCGAAGTCACCATCTCCACGTTCACTGAGACGGACCAAGAGGAATCATCGATCACCGTTCCATTGCAACGCGCATACACCGGTAATGCGCCGGTGATATCATCCGACCTTGCCGACACTCCCTGCGCTACCCTCGGCGTTCGGGGCCTCTTGAAGCGACTCAACACCACACTCAGAACATCGCACACCCTGGACACTCCATCCCTCTTCTCCCTTCTCAAAGACTGTATCACAAATGACTACGACTTTGGCATGGCATATAGCCTTCTCCGCCGGATATGGTACACGCGTTACTGGAGCACCATACGAGCCAAAGTTTGCAAATATGAGAAGGAGGATCGGGAGAGGCGACGGAAAGCACTCGTTGGTAACCAGATTGTCGGTGTAGATGTGGGACCTCGACGTGTGTGGAATCTGTATATAGTATAGCAATCGGGTGGTGCCATGGTGGATCACGAACGTTAATGGGAAATTCCGCTGGCCTCAGCCGATATCGCATGCGTGGGTGGACAAGAAGGAGAGGGCCGACGTGTGGATGCCCATCAATGGATACGAATGGCCTGTTCCCATCCCGAAAGAGAGTGACCTCAAACTAGTCCGCATCGAGATGCTCAATCTTGGAGCAGAGTACGCATGGTTGGACGTTCTCTGTTTGAGACAGGCGGGTGGTCCAGGGGAGGATATGCGTGCAGATGAATGGAAGCTGGATGTGCCCATGATCGGGGCGGTGTATGATAGCTGTTGGCCTGCTGTGGTGATTTATTTGAGCGGGCTGGGTCGGCCTTTGAGTTTGGAGGAGGGCGACTTGGATAGTGATCGCAGTTGGTTTAGACGTGCGTGGACACTACAGGAGATTGGGGACAAGAGGATGATTGCCGGAGACACCAACCCTTAGTGTCCAGAAAGCGTACGTTCTCCAGTAGTTACAGTGCGAGCCAACGTGCACGTTTTCCAGTAATACTAGAGGCAAGTGCAATGTGTGCATTGTTGACAGGGACACTGCGGAAATGTTACAATGCAAGCCAACGTGCACATGCCCCAGTAACACTAGAGCCAAATGCAATGTGTGCATTGTTGGCAAGGGCTTGGGTACACTGCGGAAATATCCACCTGTCATCGATCACTATGCGTGGTTGTCGAATCCTCTTGCCCACCGTACATCATGAGTCTGGTCATCGCGTGCCACGATGACGAGCCATCCTCCCGACGCCTGCCTGTTATAGATTGAAAAGAATCGAGATCGGAATTATAGATGAAATCTCAGATCAGATCTCTGAGAAGAACTTTACTGGGATCAGTCCAGGCCTTTCCTTCACAGCGTGATTGATACCCTCGTGTCGATGGGTACCCCCGCAGCTATCCCGCCTTCACCGCTCGTGTGCAGCCCGAAATGTAGACTATTTAGCTCAATAGCATCTTGTCCAGGCCAAGTTGACCAATCATGAATCTTAAAGCTCTCACCTGATAAAACTCCAAGCTTATTGAAAATTCCTACACTTGTCTTCCCGAGTAAAAGGAAAAAGAAGACTGCTTTTTTTACAGCTTCAGAAGCTGCAAACTGAGCGAGCGCGAAATATTCTTACAAAAAAGGAAATCTTATCAGTGGCTGTGCATAGTGTTTCGATAACGTGACTTGGCGCGGCTCGGCGCGACTCTATTCGGCTTCGGCTTCAACGGCTTCACCAAGTCATAATTTTTGATGGCTTTGAAGCTAAGTTGCCGTCACGCCGCTCCAGCCGGTCAAGCTATGACTTCATGCATTTCCTTTAAATGGAAGCTCATCAGTAGATTTTAGGTAACATAATATTCCAGAAATTTCGGAGAAATTGCGGGAAAAAATCAAAGTCGACCTAAAATAGCATTTCGGTATTTTTTACTCAAGTCGAAGCTCGGGCAACTTCAAGTCGCGCTAAGCCGCGCCGAGCCGGTACTGTGGTGTGACTTTGCCGAAGTCATTCGGCAACATCGGCGTGACTTAGTTCGGCTTGACTGGCGTGGCGCGCGGCTTTAAGCCGAGTCATCGAAACACTAGCTGTGCATGTGTGACCAACCATATCCCGCGTTACTCTTCGTGTCTCCCTACACTCCCTACACACTAACCACCCACCAACTGCTCCTCAAGGCCTCAAGTTTTGCGATCCCATGATTAAGCAGTCAAAGATCCACAAATATAGGAGTGCCAGCCTGCTTCACGTAGGCGATGAGTTATGACGTATTCGCGCCTTCGTAATTGAGGCTTTAGGGACGGGCATGTACAATGGGTCAAGAAGTGCAATAATATCTGTGAACCTCCTTCAGCCCTAGAGTGAGAACAGAGAGGTGAGTCATACCAGAGCATTCTCCGCGATGCGTCGTCGTTGTCAAAGCATTTTCGGAACCATCGGGCCAACGTGGCAGTGCCGTCCGTGGATTTGTGGCACGACGCTGTGCCATTGTTGCAAAACCAACCCGCCGACGGTATTTTTTTTTAGATTTGCATTCATTTTGTCTTAGTTCAGTGTGCCGCTCTTATACGCCTTTGTCTCGCTGTCATACTCGTTGTATTCAGTGTCTGCGAGGGCGGGAGGAGCGATGCATCAGCTCTGACACGTATGATTGTAAAGTGATATGCTGACACAGCAAACTCAACAAACTTGAATGGACGGTTTAAATTTTGAGTGTGGACCGGATCTAGTCGGATGTATATGAATGGAGCGCGTTCTCTCTCTGCTCAGTGTATCAGGCGTATATGGTCCCCTTTTTGCAAACCTCGGGGTGAAGCAAGTCAACTTTATTATGCTTCGCATACCACTAGAAATAAATAGCTACGGATGTGCCAAGAAGTTCAGACATCAAGAAGGTTCGTATTATTGCGACGATTTATATTTACATACATAATTTGGTCTGGCACGATACAATATACCTTATCGCTTGCGCCGCTTTTCAGATTCCTTGGCGAAGAGGAGGGCATCCAGCGTGTCGCTCACATCTGATACCATCTTATGCCATTGCGACATATTCCCCTCTAAATTACGTCCCCACCAGAAAAGGCCAAACAACACCGTCACTATCCCATTTTGGCCGCCTTTGCACAGAGGCGTAAATGTTCCTGTATATTGAGGTATCGGTAAACCTTCGTCACTTTGCCTCCAGCTTGGTTGAAGGGCATTCCACCACTCAACCATGGCGTTACCGAAGTGATCGATATCAGAAATGTTGAAAGCGATATCGAACGAGCGTGGACCATCTAGCCACGTATTCAAAACACTCGGCCGTTTTTTGGATGCTAACTTTCCCTTTAGAACACTAGATGAGCAGACACTATTAAGGAGTCTTCAGAACGCACCGAGTTTTTCTCTCTACTCAAGATGACCTCCAGAGCATCCCACTTATCAAGCATAGTGGACCATGCATCACCAAACGTAGGATCCCGCATTGCGGCGAGACTTTGAACTTGCCAGCTGGGAGGACTCGTTTCGGCGCCGACAAGTGTTTTTACTTCTCTAGAGCCGGTCGGCTTACGGCTGCGGGCCGGTCTTGGAATATCAAGTAACGGCTGTTCACTTGATGCACCCAAACGACTGCAAGCATTGGCTTCCATGGATACCCGACGGGAAGTAGCAGGCTTATGCTGCTTCTGATTGGGCAATATGAACGGCTCGTTCGATATCACCTCGGTCCCAAATACTGGCACGACGTTCGTCGATGTGTTGGTGGCAACAGAATCGGAGCTGGAGATAGTGGAAGAAGGTATCAGCGGGGAATTGACCCCCGTCGCAGAGCTGCCGGAATGAGAAAGCGAACCCGCTGAATCAATAGAGATTTGATTCAGGGATGATAGCGATTCAGCGGACTGCGCAAAGGAATATGATGGTGAAGTGGACGTCCCAGAAAAGCCGCTGAGATTGAACTGAGACAAACTGTAATTGGATATGGGATCAGATACAAGGTCAGTCGACGGAGTGTTGCTGGAAAGATCACTGAAAAAGTTCCAGGGAAAGGAATCTGACCAGATAGTATTGCCATCATTAGACTTCGACGGTATACTAACATCCGGCATCGAAATGTCTTGGGGGGACGCCAAGAACACAGATGCGCTGGAAGTGTCCAAAAGCCCAAGGAATGCATCTAGTAGAGGGTCCAAAGCCGTCTCAGAAGCTGGCGGAACTTGAAAGTGTTCCGGAAAAACAAAGGGCTCAACATTTGAGAGGGTGTCAGGAAGGTTGTTCTGTGGCAACTCTGTCCCAGGGAACTGATTGGAGACAAACGGGTCAAAGGGCCCGTTGTTCGGTGGGAGTTCAGCAGAGGAATTGGGAAGGGGGCTAGGGAGGGGGCTAGGGAGGGGCTTGTTGCTTTGTACCTCAGTGGTCAAGGTTGAGACGATGTAATCCCAGTTGTCGGCCCAGGCCGTCTCTTTTTGAGTATCACGTGGCTCAGAATCAACGGTCATTGACGCTGAATCTTCCGACTGTTCCACTGCAGTTTGTACTCCTGAACAAGAACTCACAATCAATTTTCGCAATACTAGGCACCAAGGCAACGTACGTTCCACATTCTTCATATGAGCCAGCAATGGACCAGCATAGTACGCATCAGCTTTACGTTTATCCCCAACCACGCCCCCCGGTACCATGCCTACATTCGCATCCCTGTCGAAGCAGTCAAAGAACTTTTCGCCAGACTCCAGGTCTGTCCCGTACTCCCAACTAAGGTATGATCAGCTCTTTGCCTTTCACCACTTATGTTGCTGACTCATCTGCGGCTTCGCAAGTTCCCAGTTTTTGGGTCGAGTCCAGCACCGAGGATGACGAAACCCCAGCCCATGAGAGAGTTAAGCGATTCAAAAATGTTCTTAAACTGAAAGCCCAACGTTTGGAGCATTCTATATCGACGTGAGAAGCATGCAGCTTTCGGGGCGGATATGGTGATGTACCCTTCTTTCTGTTCAGGAGACAATTCAATTTTATCATAGTGGCGTCCTTTCATTGCTAGCATCAGCTGCTTCTCCAGAAAGACCGCCTGCTCGACTTCAGCCTTGACCTCTGGCGTCTCTTTCTTCCACTCTTTACTCGTCACGGCATTGATGAGTTTGATATCGTTGGTAGTGAGTCCTTGTTTCTCTGCCTCAATGGCGACTTTAGGCACTACCTTCGTATCATAAAACAGACTCGAGTACGTCTGTACTGCCTGGGGAGCGCGTTTCGGGCCAACATCCAGTTTGAAGAAATTTTTGCGGCTCATATTTCGTCCTTCCTTATTGTTTTGGAACCATTGCTTCACTCGCTAATAGACAAGTTTCAGAAGAATCGGTGCTACAAACCTCTGAAGACTCACATAACGTCGGTACTCAAGCACATCGCCTAGTTTGATCCTTAACTCTGGCATAAGCGTGACTAACTCGCAACCGTCCACACATAGATTCGGGCCAAGATCCAGAAAACCCTTATCCATTCTTGGAAATGGCGCGTCTTTAGGAGAATCTGTAACATCAACGAGCTGAGGAGGTATGGATCTAGTTCTTCCCTTTGGATCTACGAAGAACTTTTCATGCACGGGTGGCCAGCGGCGCATCAAAATGTTTCCAATGCAGGCTAAGAATGTAGTGACATTCCCATTAACTGAGAGCAGGACATAAGTTTGTAGGCGGCGGCGGAGAAACTGTAGCATGGGTTTATTGGTCCATCGATTTGCTTCTGCACGCTCGCGGGGTGCTATTGCGGCTGCCTCGTCATCCCATACTCCATGGCCTTGGTCGCCTTCAAGAACCATGTTCTGATACGATCCTTGAGGGTCTATACGGGAGGATTTTCAGATATAGCTCCCAAGAAAACAATATTAATGTACCGCCAGCGAAGAAAGCGTCATCTGGAAGCGTGATGTTCTCTATCGCACGGAACACAATATTTACAGAGACTTTCTTGAGCTTTCCGAGTATTTGCTGGTCCTTTTCCTTCAACCGCTTTTCCTTCGACTGGATGCGTCGGCTCGTATTTACCTTCGGCTTCATTTTCTCCTTGGGCTTCGTCATCGTCATGGTAAGGAATCTATATTCTCAACGTCAGTTCTGTATTCAAGACCTATTGAACGCACATACGGTGAGACGGTATCCGTATGATACTTTTGATATTGTCTGACTCTTGAGAATAGCTTCCTTTGATGAAGAAAATGGGGATTTTTCGAACGTGTGCATTTCCATTTTGCGCAAATAATGCGAAGGTCGGGCGTTTCGACAATGCACACACTCCAGAAAGAGTGTACGTATTGTCGATGACACGACAGTGCACCATTAACGACACGGCAATGCACACATTGCATCCCTAGACCCCATATAGGGTATCTGTGGATCAGACTATAAAACCCTGGAGCTTACCATCCTTCAATCACCAGTTCTTCAGTTCTTCAAATCACTCAGTCCTTCAGTTCCTCAAATTACCCAGTTCTTCGCAAAAATGACTCAATTTACTCTAGAGCAACTTGCAGCAGCTCTTTCGGTCCTTGGCATCTCCGTACCAGTTATGGATGGTAATTTCTTTCACCTGTCATTGAATCCAGCTGACAATGTCTTAACAGCTTCTCATGTCCCCGATGTCCATGCAAACGCTTCTGCTCAGGCAGCGCCTGGGCCACTGCAGACCACTATACACTGTGCAAACTGCAGTTACCCAAACGCCATTAACATTTCTGCAGTCCCGACCTTGATGGGCGTCCCGCTCCCGCGCAGCAGAGTGGGAGGACAGACTTCGTCGCCTGCCCTTGCGACTAGTGCTACGCTACGTGTTCCTTCGGTCCCCATCCGCTCTCCTGCGGGACCTACTCCCGTTGTCCATCCGACACCCACCCCCACTTCCTATGCCCATCCCGCTCCTGTTCCCGTCGCTCAGGCCAACCCCGCTCCTGTTCCCATCGCTCAGGCCAACCCCGCTCCTGTTCCCGTCGCTCAGGCCAACCCCGCTCCTGTTCCCATCGCTCAGGCCAACCCCGCTCCTGTTCCCGTCGCTCAGGCCAACCCCGCTCCTGTTCCTGTCGCTCAGGCCAATCCCGCTCCTGCACCCATTTCCACTGACTCATCCTCCGCAGTACCTCAGTCGGCTACAGCGTCCATCACCACTGGTCCTGATGGACCTTGGTATGTCGTATCGAAAGGCCGGGATGTGGGGGTTTTCCGTGGTTGGTAAGTTGTTTCTCCCTCAATGTTGATCAATATATTAACCTTCTTACAGGCAGCAGATTAGCAATTTAGTGACGGGTGTAGGTAGAGCATGTTTCTTTCGTTGCTCGACGCGCGCTGCTGCTCAAGTAGCATTTAACGAGGCGCTTGCCGCAGGAGCTGTTGAGATCCTTTGATCGCACGTCATGGACATCTTTTCTTGGCATATCTTGAACTTTTACAATTCTGCTTCTCATATCTATCACCATATATCATTGGTTCATACACTCGTTACATTGTCCGCTCGTTTCCTCTTTTTCAAATCAAATTTTCGCTGTCCTTATTTTTGCTTTTATTTATCTTCATCTGTACATGCTACAATTTCTCCCTGTACATAAATTGCCACGTAAACTTGCCCCCAATGTTATCTACCCTGCGTATTCTCCGCCCTCCATGTGATATAAGTCTTTTTGAAAAGACCCAAGAATCTGTTCATGAATTTTGCGGTAGGAGACTCATCTATATATGGAAACGACGTGCTGGCAAGATCCGAAACCCCTAATCCGCTGTTTTCCCCCCATTTCTGCTCGATGCTGCCACCACCCCTCCGCCCCATCCCCAGTAATTTATCTTACTCCCCATTATGCCGTACTAGTCTCTGATCTATGTGTGTCAAGTAGGATATGTTATAGGTTTCGTTCAACGTTTAACGGCCATCTAGGTTTGCTCCGAATACCGCTACCACTCTTCAACATGCTCTATATATTGTATACGACTGTGCGTAACTTAGTGCAGTGCATGGTGGAAGCGACGGAGTAATGCATGATGCAATGGAAGGTTTGGAACTGGGTAAGTCTACCATGTCCATCATCGTTATCGACACGACTGCTGAGCATTTACTAGGAGGAAGGATACATTCTAGAGCACAACAGATTCATCTCGCCTCGTGTCTATCCCCTCGAATACTCCATTCTGTGCATTGTCGTCCGGTTTCTCAACGTGTGCATTGTCTTCCGGTATCTCAACGTGTGCATTATCATCCGGTATCTCAACGTGTCCATTGTCTTCCGGTATCTCTCAACATGTGCATTGTCTTCCGGTATCTCAACGTGTGCATTGTTTTCCGATATCTCAACGTGTGCATTATCGTCCGGTATCTCAACATGTGCATTGACGTCCAGTATCGGCGAAATCATTTCGCCTCATGTCTATCCCCTGGAATATTCCACTCTGTGCATTGTCGTACCACTGCATTTCCATCCCTTTATCCCAATGTGTGCATTGCCACCTAGTATCAGCGAATTCACCTCGCCTCGTGTCTATCTCCCGAAACTGTGTGCATTGTCGTACTGCTGCGTTTCTGACCTTGTCTCAGTGTGTGCAGTCTGGCTTCACGTGTAAGCAGCAACTACGTAAAGTCTCGTACTCTGCAATTATCTGTTATATCTTGGAAACCATGGGATAAGGAACTCTCTTGTAGCTGGGATGCTGTTCGAAAGGTTCATATTGTTATAGAAGTGGATGCTACAAAACATGCTATTATTCAGTGTTCACTGTACAGCCCACGCGTAGTAAGCCAGAAATTTTTTAATGAACCAGACCCATCACACCATGCACGCGCCGAAATCCGTCTTCTACGTGTTTAAGTGTTCATCGTCGCTACTTCCTCAGCGACCCTAGCTCTCCATTGAAGAACATGCTCAACTGTAGTGTCCTGATCATCCTCACTCTGAGCACTCTCGCTACCAACCGCATCATTTGCCTGTACATCGTCGGTGGGCTGAGAAGTATTAGGTATGTGTTCAACATCTGGGTTTGCACTAAGCTTGGCAATCCTCCCCCCGCATGCATCCATCCACTGTTCAAGTGTCTGCTGTTCTCGTTAGCCGGTCTTCACACTTCAAATAAACATACGTACTGCTCGTAACAAACGAATGCCATCTCTGTAGCGATCAAGGGAAGTAAAACGAGGATTCGGCACACTTTGGGGGAACGTTTCAATGAAGATTTGGATAAACCCTCGCCACCACGTCTCGGAGCGGCCGTCATATATCGCGTATATACAACCCAGGTGGTATTTTTCAAGCAGCCGCTGTTTGGGCAAGTCGAGGTGAGTGGGGTCATACTACAGCTGATGAGCACCGGCAGGTTCTAGGGTTATGGGCGAGAAGAGCGTACCACTATAGTGCGGGTTATCAGTTCATGCATGGCTCTGAGATACGTGTTAGTGGTAACATCATGAAAGCCAAAAAAGGATTCGTACTGAGTAGATGGCAAAAGGCAGTGGAACGGTACTGGAAGAAAGGCAGGAAGGGGCACGAGAAGTGCCAACTTATATGCGTGATCGAGTCCGTGGGAAAGGACGGATGACAAGGATCGTAGTCGCACTGGACTGGCAAGCCTCCTCCCTAAAAAGGAGGATTGCGAGGGAGTTGTGCTGGAACCACACAGGGTTGCCGTAGATAAACCAAATTCTGTCTGTCGTCTATGGTAAACAAGTTGTTGTAATCCTTCAGTTACTTTTATATAACGAGATGCCTGCCAAAGGCAGGACCTTGGACTCGGTGAGGCTACAAATGCTGAATGGGATGAGGGTGCTGCATCATGAACGTACATTCCAGTGTGGGGGCCGAGCCATTGCTGATACATGTAATAAACAAGGTACCTTAGGACTGAAATGCCAGGCAGCAGTTCAAAGGATGATAAGGTGAGACAATCAGACGAAAGAACGAAAGTGGTAAGATTGTGCTATTCCATCACAGTAGCATTCTGTCAACTTCTTTCCTCCTTGCATGGCACCTCCTACAAAATATCTCACACCAGAAGCAAAGCGCCGGTCAGTATGCGAGAAAAGCAAGCGCTACTATGACAGGTATGTCTTTAGTATATTCTAGCTATATAAACTGGACTAATATGATGTGCAATTGATGAGAAATAAGCAGCAAATCCGACTCCGGCGCAAAGCTGCTTATTATTCTACTGCTTCACGAGAAAGATGGTACAGCTTAAACAGTACATATTTAATCACCCTCACCTTCTTACAGCTCCGAGAACTTATCCCCCACGATGAACGTTAAGCCCAGTCAAAGGCGTGTTACCAAAGTCGGGAAGACTAATGCGCTGGAAATTCGAACGAGGTAGGGACTTCATGTGGATGATATCCGTGGAAAGTATTTAACGGTGCATGTACAGGAGCAAATCCCTAAATCACCAGTCCAATGCCTTAACTTCATCTATCAAGGCTGTGCCAGTAGCGCCACTACCATTGCCTGCTGACGTGTTCCCTAAACTGGGCGCAGAGGCAAAGGTTCTTCAAGATAGATTCGAGGCCTTCATTCAGAGCATGTCTATCCATGAATACATTGAGTTGCTCTTGAAAGCTTATTTCAAGTCTACCTCACAATGCCAGGGGCAGATCGACGTCTTTGTAGAGCCTCTACATGATCTCTACGAGCTCCGAGACTCGTATGCGGAGGTACTAGCTAAATCTAGTGAAGTTGAGGGCTCGAGTGCAAGGCATCGCAAGCTAGCACAAGCAGGTGTGCCTATCAAAAAGGTTATCGAGTGGGTTGAGGATATTTGGTGTTGTGCTATTGATGGTCCAGGGTCCTTGCGGCAATCATACAACATGAAACGATTAGCATGGCAAAGGGATAATAGTAATTAATTGTCGTTGCTACAGAAAGCGAGGTCTTTATTATTGTACTTCGATTGTAAATCATCAAGACTTTCCATCGCTGCACATAGTATATCTTCAAGCCAAGTTACCAATTGGTGGATGGGTTTCAACACGTTCTGTACCCGCTCCATCTCTTTCCCCACTCCTGCAACATTCAAAACGACGTGTTCGTATTCATGTCCAGACTCTTTGAGATGGGAAAGTCGAGCGATAGCAGTCTCAATCGGCCTTCTGCATCCTCTGGGTCGTGAAGGTTCAAAAGTGCTAACATAGTCATGATAGACCTTGTCAGCAAAACGTCGTGGAGAGCTCTCCGTCAACATATTGAACCGCTGTCCTAACCGTTCTAGTTGATCGAGTGCTTCTGCGATATCCGAGCTGCGCCTAAAGATAATGTCTGTTATTGAGCTCCCAAAAAGGACGTATGTAGGTGACGTACTGCATATGCGTTTCTCCTGAGTTAACCTCAACGTCAATGTTACGCGCTGCCCGGCAGATTAAAGGTTCTAGCTGGCTAAAGGCAGATGTGGGGTAAGAACAAGGGAAACAGGGTATAACGCCACACACCTTTTTTGCTTTCTTGACTTGCCAGCGGCATGATATGTCTCACGTCGATGCTGGTTGATGGCATGGCGATTTCTGGTAAAGGACGAGCTTCAGCCTTCAAACCATGCTCCATAATTTATGTTTCTTACTTCTGATAACTTCGTCGACTGCTGGCATTATGAGCAGTGCGATGTTCCTCCTCTGTTCGTCGTGAAACCATGACGGATGACTGGAATGAGGGTCCGAAATAGAAAGTTGGAACAGCTGGTCAGGGAACTACTACGTACCGACAGGTGAATGCAGGCTTGCTTTAGGAAATGTTTCGGAAATGTTTACCGTGGACAGAGACAGCTGTGGAATGCGGGAGGTGGGGTTCGAGACTGTACAGAGTTAGCCTGAGAACGTGTGCATTGCTGTAAAAAAGTGGCCGTGGATCGGAGGAGATGGCATTGGGAATGTGTGCATTGCCATGAAAAAAAGGCCGTGGATCGCAGGAGTGACGTCAGAAATGTGCAAAGCAACCTCAAAATCTGTGCATTATTGTAAAAGTAGCTGCGGATCACAGGATGTGGCATCAAAGGACCGTACAAAGGCAGCCCGAGAATCTGTGCAATGTCGTAAAAAGTAGTAGCTATGGCTGACAGGTGTTCCACTGTGTGCATTGCAGTGGAGGTGATTTTCCGGGACTGTACAAAGTCAGATCAAGAAACTGTTCGTTGGAAGAGGTCAACCAAACACTTATAAGAGCAGATTCCAGCAGAAAAAATGGACCAGATTCCTGCCCACAGCGTTTAACTATTCGTTAGGACAGGTGCGTAGTTTCGGATATACGGTGGTAAGGTCTCTTATTCATGTCATCAGAAATGCCAATGGGATGTCGAGCGCACAGAGATTTCTTGAGGCTGTACCTGCCCGAGTATTACAGGGTGAAGTCTGTTGCGAAGCAGCAACCTAGGCTCTTCGCACAGTTCCAGTCCCGCATGTGGACACTTTGGATGAGACGTTGGCACCCGGAGATGCAGCCTCCCGATCCTGAGGACGCCAAGGCCGTTGAAGACTGGATGAAATATCGTCAAAGAGTGAGTACCTCCGGCATAGCACAAATGACACGGACTTATAATAACAATATTTCTATTAGATTCTCTGCAAGATCATTCGGACCATGTCGTATTGGATTCCCTTCTACGTCGCAGATCTCAAAAAGAAGAAACTAGCCTTAGAGGAGGCAAAGGCCCATTCATCCACTGAAGACGACGAAGCTTTAGTAGACCAGATATCAGTAAGACGAAGTCACAGAGTACCGAGGCCAACAAAGCGTCCTGATGGTAGCTTTCAGTAGTTCACACGTCCACGCGGTCGCGTTGTATTGCGTTGTGTACCAAAGTCTTTCATCTCTCCACTTGTAATACACTGCCACCTTCTACTGTCCTACTTTGCTCCAGTGTGTATATCGTCCCTCGTGGAGTTCCCTAAGTTCCACAAGGTCAACCCATTCACATGCTTCCTTGAAATGAGATCCATATGCTCTGCTTTGTTCCAGAGGTCTGCGAACTAGTATTTAATGCAAACTGTATGGTCTTTTTCCTTACACCCCTCCACTCTCCACACGAAAGATGTGGAAATACAATCCCAAGAAGCATGGAAAAAATGGACCTGCACGGGACATCACCATCCATGATTATGCAGAAAATCAACCGTCTGCTCCTGCTGTCGATCAATATCAACACACCCATTTCAGCATGAGGGAAAAGGAAGGACCGACTGGTGTACGTGTTTGCCCTAGCGTGCGCAATAGCTCACTTGTTGTCCCTTCTCTTGGGTCCCAACACCCCGAAACGGACAAGCACTTGTACCCTTCTATTGAGGAATTATCTTCGACATCTTTTTTAGATCCAGATTATGCTCCTCCATCTGCTGAAATCCAAGGTAGCGGCGAAGAGGAAGAATGTGATACTCGGGCCCCCAGGCCACTCGGTGTACGTTGATTTTCTGTCAATATGTTGTTTTCCTAGTCTCACAAACAGTATTCGCCAGGATCATCCACTCTTTGTTTGGTCTCAGCTACGTTCAGAGTTTCTTGACGAGATCCTAAAGCTTGACGCTTTCGAAACCGATGACAGCAGCGTATGTGAGGCTTGCAACATTAACTCGGGGTCATACCGCTGTCTCAATTGTGTGGATACTCGACGTCTATGTCAGACTTGCATTGTTGCGGAGCATCAGGGTTTGCCCTTGCATAAGATTGAGGTACGTGTTAAGGATCAATGGATTTTATGATTTTTGATGAGTTGTGTGTACTAGGAGTGGCAGTCATCATTCTTCCGCAAAACGACTCTTGCCAAACTGGGGCTTAATTTTGATCTGGGACATGAATGGGGGACGCCATGTCTCTTTCCCTCGATTGTTTCTGATTTTGTGGTTGTTGACATGAATGGCATCCACACTGTTAATATGGCATTTTGCAATTGTACTCAGGGTATCCCACAGCGTGTTCAGCTGCTTTGTCATCGACTTTTTCCCGTGACAACAATCTACCCACATACTGCATTTACATTTGGCATACTTCACTTCTTCCAGCTGCTGTCTTTCATGTCCAAGGTATCCGCATATGAATTCTATCACACGCTGGTTCGATTGACTGATAATTCTGGGCTGCAACCACCTCCAGTAAGGTTCTCGATTATCAACAAATATATGAGATTACTTAACAAAAATTAGGACCGCTATGAATCTTTTCTTCGAGTTATGCGAGAGTGGCGTCATATTCGTGCTTTGAAGCGATTTGGGCGTGGACATGAGACAGGAGGTGTAGAAGGTACCAAGCAGGGCGAACTCGCTCTCCGTTGCCCTGCGTGTCCTCAGCCAAGCATTAATTTACCTCTGGGCTGGATCAAGAATCTGTGCGTCCCAAAAGTTCATTTTACATGATTGTCCTAAAACTTACTCTTTTCAAGAACTACCCGGTGGTTGTACCGCTTGTTTCTAGCGGTAGATGCGAATTTCCGACTTCGTCGACTGAATGTCTCGAGCGACCAATCTGATCCAGGACTCAATCTCGGATATGCTTACTTCGTCGAGGAAGGTGCTTTTCGGGGTCACCTTGATTCCTTTGCCAAGGTCATTCCCGAGGAAGAAAAGAGTACGTGTAATAATCACGACGCTGTCAAGCTCGCAAATAGTCGGGCTGGACATGGTGCAGCAGCAACGGGAGTTGGGGCCGTAGTCTGTGGGCGCCATGATATGAAACGTCCGTTATCGGTTGGAGATCTTCAAAAGGGCGAAAGGTATGGATTTCACAAGAACTCATGTTCAGTTCTGATTATATGGCAGATACCTTAATATGGATTATTTCATCTTGTCAACGTTAACGGACGATGCACCTCCAGACTTGGTAATATCATATGACATCGCATGTCAATGGCACAAAAACTTCTTTACTCGAATGTCCAGATATCCCGAAGCGTTACGACTTTCACAACCGGAGCAGAACATACTTTACCTCGTGCCGAAATTCCATCTACCCGCCCATATTTTGAAATGCCGCGACAATTTCTCCTTCAATTTCTCCGCCAAAGTTGGTCGTACCGATGGTGAGGCTCCTGAGCGTGGTTGGGCTGCTACCAATGCTTTAGCAGCGAGTACAAAAGAGATGGGGCCTGGTGCTCGCAGAGACACTTTAGATGACCATTTTGGAGATTATAACTGGAGGAAGATCGTCATTCTAGGTAGGCATGATTCTTTTATAGCCGACCTCGGGAATGCTAATGATTTGATTATCAGCGGATATGCTTTGTACTCGGCTGAAGGAGGCAGTCAGAGCTCGTCTTGAGCATGTTGTAGAGTTCGTTGGTTATGAGGATGCTTTGCGTGTTGAGCATTCAGAATCTGTCAACTCTTGGAGACAAATGGTCCTTGTATGGGAAGGTGATCGAAGCCGGCCGAATCCCTTCTCGCCCACCTTGCGCCGTAGGTCTACCTGCATAATCATTAACATCTATTTTCATTAATAACATTCTAGCTATGACTGAAAACGCTGTGCGTCTGGAGCTCGCGAGAGAAGAAAAGAACATTTCTTCTGTCGAAATTCACCATGATGTTAGTCCCAGCGAGTTTATGGCACAGGGATTACAGCTAGAAGAGGCCCAGTCAGTTTCAGTATGACTTGAGGTGATGCCGTTGCTGACAACCTCGGACAGGGTACGGTTGCAACGTGATATCGACACTCTTGGTCCGCATTCAACCGATTTACAACGCTCCAAGGTGCAAGCCCAGGCGAACCGTATCCAGCGTAAAATCGAAGCATGGATCGATGTGCAGAAGGTATACATGCCTAAAACAGCACTACTCCGTGCGCGAGATGACGACCGCCGTGCTGTTGGAAAGGATATCCAGCCGTCGAAGGTTCCCCTCTATCTCCCTTCCACGGCACTCAGGCTGAATGCTATTGATCTGACGACGCAGAAGGCCATCATCGATGATGAGCGGCGTCTGCGTCTTGCTCAGGCCAATGATACCTTAGCCCTGCTGCGTGACCATCTTCTCTTAAAGTCCTATCTCACGACGTGGCGGCAACGATTTTCATGAGGACAGCACCATGGTACTAAAGCAAACACCTTAATCCATCGAGTAAATGAAAAGATTGCGGCTGACGTTGCTAGGTACCAACGAATCTACGCGGCGATAGAGACCTTGTCTGCGAAGTTAAATCGGTTTGAATGGCAGGGTATCCTCCAACCTCTGAAAGAGGAGCACGTTCGAGGTCTTGATCAGTACAACGAATCATCTTCAGAGGGTCATCGCAATCTAGCGTGGATTTGGAAAACTAATCTTCAAGGCGGACAGAAAGGCCTCCAGGAAGGTAGGTGGCTATACACCTACATCTGATGCCATGATTTTCACTGAGACATCCTTTGATAGCGTTGCGAATTGAGTGGTGCAAGTCTCGGGCTCGAGCCCAGCGGTGGCAAGAAGAATGCGAACTGCTGATTGAGGAGCTCCGTCGTGTTCGGGTCACATTTGCATACTATACGCAGCTGTGGATTAAGCGCGCAGAGTTTAGATCGCTCGCTGGTGCAAAAGCTTATGCTTTCAGGCAAGCGGCTTTGTGGAGTGAGCTTCATAAGGATGCAGAAGCGAAGTGGCTCGACGTTGAGGCCACTCTGGAATTGAATTCGTCTCAGCATGATGTAGCGACTACAGATCTCGATAACCGTACCACAAGTACTTAGTCTACATGGTACCAAAGTTAGTTCACGATAGACATTTATATCCAGCAGCTAAATATCAATGTCAAATATGATAGGACTGTAGGAAGGTACGATAACGCGAGGATGACCAAAAACATAACTAATCTTTCGGAATTCACGAGTGATGATGTCCTCCAAGTCATCTAGTTGCTGAATAACCATCCCGTAATCCCAGCCATATGGAGCGCGTTGGTGGTACAGCCACAACTGCTTGAGACCCATAATATAAAGCGTAAAAATTTCCTGTTGCTCGAGGTTTAACAAAGGCATCAAGAAAGGACAGGCGACGTACGATTTTTCGTTGTTCTTCATCTGCTACCCGTTCCTCTTCCATTAACATATCGGCTTCATCTTCCGGCCACGCAGTAAAATATTCCTCGCAAAGTCCTTCGAAAAAAGGCAACACAGTGTGTGCAAGTACCGCCTGTTCGAAGGCTGGTCCATACTCTGCGAGCCAGAGTCGCTGCTCCGCAGAATAGTACATTCGTACGGCGTATTCATGCTTTGAGGATGCTGAAAAGACGCCAATAATGTTGCTATTCGAAAAGTCATAAGATAAGGATACGAATACCAAGGAAATCGACTTACAGGGAACCATCCCCAATCCTATTATACTGATGATAATGGAAGAGGTCACCGGTACGAGCAAGAGACGACATGATGCTTTGACGGATTTAGCAGATGGAGGGTGCACTGTTGTTGGCATGTGAGTAGACAGAATCTATTTAAATGAAGCAGAATACCCATTATGAAGCCGACTTTACAAACAGAGGAATGTGTGCATTCGAAAGGTCAACGTGTACGTTGCCGTAGTCACATGCTCTTTCCAATGTGTGCATTGTCGTAGAATCGGCTGCGCTATCAGCCTGCCATACACAGCGAAGAAGTACGTAATCATAGGTTCTCTCGAATGTGTGCATTGCCGTAGAGTCAAATTAGTATGCCCAGAAGAAGCGTGCTAGACTTTTCGCTTATTGAAGCCGCGAGTACAGGTGGGGCAGGGGGCAGGTAGCAGGCTAGAGATCGGTGTATCAATTTCTACCCCGATAGATTTGCATAGTTGGCGTGATGTAGAATCCTAAGAGCCCAGTAGTCATCTGAGTCTGCAACTCTGCATAAAATGGCATAGATCTACGGTCGGAAACGGTCCAGTACCAATTGAAGTATAACAAAGAAAGAATGCAGGATTAACGTGCCAGTTAAGTGCTCCGCTACGGGTAAATCAGTGAACGAAGAAATTGAGAACCGTTGAATTACATATTTTAAGAAGCGCCAGTGGTACAGCCACGCAAAATGTCAAAGAGCCAAGATCTGGACATTAATTTGATTTTGAGATCCAATCACATTGTATCATCACAGATCTATACCTAAAGTGAAAGGAAGGGCGCAGAGTCGGGCGACGACGAGCGAGGTGGCGGGCGGAATTGATATCTGAAGCGTGGGAAATAGCTCCCGGGAATGTGCAAAGCCGTGATTTGATTATGAGGCCACGTGTATGTCAATGTGTGCATTGATAGACGGAGAGCAACTACCGGAAAACGTGTGCATTGGCTTGCACTGCAGTTACTGGGCAAACGTGTGCAATATGGACGCTATGGACTCGAGACACGCCGGATGGACCAATGCATGCCGAGTGTAAGGATGATGGGAAGTATGAGACTGAGCTACTGACCAGGTTTCACAAGCAGCTGCAGTCTACGGAGGACATGATGTTCCATGTGTTTGAGGCACTGAAGAGCATGCGGAATCGGGTGTCGACCAACCCAGTGGACAAAGTTGCGGGACTGGCATATGTCATGGTGTCCGAGGCAATACCGGCATACTATGAGAGCCAGTCTCTCGAGGACGCATGGACAGCACTCGTCAATTCAATGTTGAATAAATGTCGAGGGCAGCTGTTCTACTTCTATCCTGAACCGGGAAATGCAGGCAAAAAATGGAGGCCATCGTGGGACCAGCTTATGTCCAAGCCTCTGCCCACAGATGGATACTCCAGCACTGTCGGGATTGCCGAGATTGATCGGGATGAGACAGGGGATGAAGACACGTGTGACGCGTGCTGCATTGAAAAGGGGGTGGTGCGGGGGTTGCAAGGGAGTGATCGACGTGGAGAGTTGATTGTAAAAGACAAGGGTGGGATAGAACATGGATTCGAGGTCACTGCCACCCACACATACCCGATACCTGATGACACTTACACACTGATTGATTCCTGCAGTGAATATGTGAGGCTACACAATGTTTGGGTTGTTGGGCAAAGCCTGCCAGGGGGAAAGTTTGAGAAAGTGTCGGTGTTGGAACTTTCTCGTCAAGAACACTGCAGGTTAAACGATCTGGATATTACTGAACAACATCAATATATTCTTATCTGAGCAAGTACTCATTGTGTAGTAGCTCTTCTTAACTTGAGGAGCCATCATGCATATCTGGACCTATCTCCCAAGTCTGCGGTCTCTTCGTACCGTGCTTTTTTCAAACCCAAGTCTGTTTCCCCTCAAAAACTCCTTTTTGTTTGATGTTCCCCCGGTTTTGCGGACGACGAGGTGATGTATGTAACGTGGTGGATAGCGAGTTAGTCCTCGGACTTGGTGATCGTCGCTGGTAAGGCCTTTCTTCGGCATTGTACAGCGTTTCAATGATATCTCGTCTTTAGCGTGATCATCTCTACTCGCTAGCTTGGGATAGAGTTTCATTCATACGTCAAGTACAGTCATGCCGTGCACTTAAATTGTAAGTCTATATTGCTTGTCTCTTCGGAAATCTAATCAATATATGTCCACTAGCCTTCGACGCTGGAACAGTGGATGCCTCAGGATAAGCACGAAGAGGGACTGCTAATCATCTCACAGTAATTTACATGCATGTAGAGCATGTACTTAGTACACCAGGAATTTAACGATACTCTTGACTCGCATAATTTACCGTGGACTACGAAAGAAGGATATATTCTGTATTCAGAGGACAAGATAGACTGGGGAAAAGGATTTGTACGGGTAGTGTGCCGAGGATCCAGCCGGCCTGCACTCCCTAGCCCTTCGACTGCTCGTTCTTCCTATCCACGCTACACGCCGATTTAGCGCAACGGATAATCTCGCTGCGGGCTCGGTCGTTGCGAAAGGGATGCACATTAATGATTGTAGTTGAAAGGAATGAGGGGAGGATTCGAAGTACGTCTTGTTTTGACCATCTTCCGCACGCACGCAAACGACTCAGACCTGTTCCTCTCCCGAGCAAGACGCCAAACTCCGTTCTTTTCTCCAAGATGCATTTCGAAGCTCACGAAACGGGTATTGCTTTAGCGGGGACAGTCATGGTGGCAGAAGGGAGAGGGACCGTGGGTGGGCCGTAGTTGAAGACATCCGATGTTGCTGGATATTTCACCGATAGCTTGTCTACCGCCAGAATCGCCGAGTTTAATGTGGAAAGGGAGCAGCTGGTGGAGGCGAAGGACGGACAGGTTCTATATGATATTAAGATTGCAGACACCCACAATCCGCAATTTCTCATCCGAATGCGTCCCCCAGACGTAGATAGGTTAGACCCCACAACTAGTTTGCCGTGATGGGGAGCGAGTATTTCGTCGTTCGCTTGGTGCTGGTTGAGAAGGGGGTTAGGAGTGCTGAGAGGCCGTCGGAAAGGGATACGGGCCATTCATCCGTTCGGCAGTCCTGGCTTGATGTTGACGATTAGTCAGGAGGTTGTACGTCTTGCGGTGGGAGGAGTGTTGGAGCTTGCAATGGCAGGGTGTGCGTTTGCTGGGAGGGAGGATGTTGGGCTTCCGATGTTGGATATTTCACAATCGCCCGACATCGCCCCTTCCACACCTTGACCCTCGCCTTAACACAGCCTGTCTGTGTATCGGTGTTCGATGTCGATCCGCAAGGTGCTATCGATGCAGAGCTTTCATGCTTGTAGAAAGGGCGCGCAGCTGGCTGGTAGAGGTGGGAGTTGCATGTATGGGCGGAATCCAGAGATGCAAAGGGCTCGAAACACAATCCCCAACCCCCCACGCTCCAAACACGTCTCCCAATCTACCATAGCAAGATCATCAGAGTATTGGCCACAATTGGTTTCTGGCGTCCAACTGTGTTCCGTCTGTCTCTACGCGAGGTACTCATCTTGCCGTATCTGCACTCAAAAGATGGGTGAATTTTGGTTGCGTGGGCGCTGAGAGTAAAGATCAGACTAGAACGGCTGCACGGTGGAGGAAGATTTCGGGTGAGCAAGCGCTCGTGAAGATGTATCAATGCATCGCCCGGGTCTTACTGAGGATGGCGCAACGAAGGCTGCATTTGGATTGGACCTGAGCTAAATCCGTCAGTCTTGTTCTTGCCGGGGATCCTACCAGTTGTTGGTCATCGGTGTGGCTGGATGGCAACGAGTTCGCGATTTCGACCGTTCTGGTGATGCCGTAGTCGGAGCGTGAGAACATTTGAGCACGCCCTGTTGACTTTATCTCGATCCAGCTCCTTCGGGCCACGCCCTCCAGTCTGACGTGTTAGCTTTACTCCTCCTCTTCCTTCGCATCGATTGGATGTCCACAAGTCTACCCTTCTCAAGGACTCTCAAAACCGCGTCCCGACGTCCGAAACGTCCATCCTCAGCAGCCTTCGCGCCCTCACTCAAATCCGGCACTCCCTTTCCATGGTCACCCATCACTAGCACTAGCTATCGCGAGGTGCCACATCAAAACTGATTTCACTGTTAGTGATCCTTGTCCAGACTCGTCGTATTACGCATAATTAAATTCTTTTCAAGGAATACATTAAAGGGGATTTGGAATACAGACAAGTCGATGCACACGCGCAGGCACAATCTTCGAACGATTCACACCGGACCCTTTCTCAGCACAGCAATAGCGCCATTTCCTCTCTGGTTTATACCCGCACGCTCTCACAGAAACCAAAGACCGAATAGTGCAACTCACTACTGCTTGCATTGATTGTCCTTGGGCAGTTCTCGGGACAAAAGAGAATGTGGTCGTCAACCGGAGGTGACTGGACCTATAACCCGCGGACAACTCGCCAGTCTGTCGGTCAAAGAAGATTACCGACTATGGCGTCGAGGACGAGGCAATGTTGAATCCTGATATGGAGCGGAAGGATACGATAGGTCGGCATTGCCGTGGTTTTCAATGGAGAGCAACAACAGGAGAAGAACAAAGATCAGAGAGGACGACGTAGAGGGGCGGCAGAGTTGGCTTGAGGCCCTCGTCGTTACTGGTAACCGGCGAGTCCTCGAAATCTGCCAGTCCAAGGCCGAAAAGGACGTCATCTCCTCACACTTCATTGCCGTTTCCGAGTGCAGAGGCGGATGTTCTCAGACCGTTTTCCTCTGTGCTCTCCATCCTTGACTCCGAGTCGAACCTTCATGACTGCGCTGCGAGAACCAGCTCTTTGACTATCAGAGCTTCCGTATCACGACGAAAAAGCGCGACGTCATGATCTAGTGTAGCTCACGCGGAGCGACGCTGATGGGCGTGTCATCACTGAAGTACGGGATGAGGATCAAACGAAGGCACGCTCGTCCATCTTTCCCGTCTAACCACGTCTGGAGTGAGCTTTACCCTATTGCGCTTGATGAACCCATCGCTCTTCATGGCGAAGATGGTACGTTTGTTAAGTTGCATCTTGATTTTGGCGCTGACTATTGCTCTGATACTTAGACCAACGCTAAATGAACTGTCCAAGTATTGTGACGAAACTACCGGCGCTTCGATCTTGATGCGTTCAAATGTGTTTGGTACCAAAATTTGGCGGGCGACTCTCAAATATCACAGCAACAGATTACCGAACATCACCATTCCAAGAATCCCTATCCCCACTTTCGTCGTCCGAACCTTCTCTACGATCCCCACCGCATTAGAACCTGCATCAAGAACAAAAGCCGAGATCTTGTACTCGTCCACGAGACACGTTTTGTTGGGAAGAGATCGTAAGATGCATGTGTTTGCAGCATGGCTTGCTGTTGACCTCTGTGTTGGCCGGTGTTGTTGGCATGGGCGAAGGATTCACTTACATCTTTGTTGGAGATATCTGTGACTGAGACAACAGATGACGTTGATGAGCAGAGCTGGTCAGAACAGAGAGTTCTGGAGCTCGTAGAGAGGGTTGTACTTCCAAGTTCCAGAGCTCATCGACGAATCAGAAGGACTCTTCCATTTCGACACTTCGTCCCGCCGACCTTGCGAGCAGTCCATCGGAGCTAGGCAAACAAGTAATACCAAGTAACGCACGATGCCTGCGACGAGAAGATCCTCGACTGGCTGGAAAGTATCCCATCCAAGTTTTCGTGCACTTGCGAAAAGAGACCGTAATAACGGCGACATTTCTGAGGGAGATGACGATGGATGAAGAGGCGATTACTCAGTTCGCCAAAACTGACGGGTGCTATACTTGTGGGAATTTCTGACCCAGAAGCCAACAACATCACGAAACTCAACCTTCACGATCTTCTTCCTGTTGGTGTCGGGCTGGTATGTCGTGCATGGAAGATCGTTCCCTGGTGGATCTGTTTGTCGATGGATCTGTTCAGGTAGTCGTGTGTACTGCGAGGCGTCAATCCGCTAAAGAATCTCTTTCCCCTCTTCAGTCACCCGAACTTTCTCTCACGTTAGAACTCGTGTCAAGAACAAAGGCGGAAATGTTGTACTCGTCCAACACACACCTTCCCGGGTTGCAAGACGCTTGTATCTGTAACATGTGCAGAGACCTCCTCGACCTGAACACTCGCAAATGTGTGTTTAGGCTGTTTGGGACAGAGATTCTCCTATGAAGCAGGTGCCGCACTTTGAGCCAGAGTTGAGCCAGAGGCTGGTATCGAATCGGTGTATGATATTATGGAAATGGAGGACGACAAGCATCTGGTGCTCTTGCAACTGTCCCACGCGCAGACGTAAGCATTTCCGTGCAGTTGCTATTAACATGTCCTCATCTCATTTTACAGGCAAGACGTTGCTACGTTCGTCAACTCTTATGCCCGACGCTCGATGTTTGTTGGCGGGGACTACACAGCGGGAGCCCCGATAATCCTCCAAGTCGCTCTCACCCGGGACATCGACAAAGATGACGAAGAAGGCGACCAGACAGTAATTGCGCTATTCTACCCAGGTCCCAGTTCCTCCCTTGTTTAATTTCGATGAATATATAAAGAACTACTAGTACCTTGTAGCATATCATAGTTTGGGTTTTTGGCCTTTATACCTGACAACGGCTACATGAGCTTCTTGTAAGAGAAGTGAACTTTGCCACCTCCAAATATGCACGGTAGCTACTCCAGTAAAGGAGAGCTACTATGCAATATATACTCGCTCAAATAAGAATATATTGACCCCAATCAGTAATACACAGACCCCCTAACCTGTAATATTCTTCATCAGGAATTTCCAGCACTGACACCTTCTCAAACTTTCCCCCTGGCAGACTTCGCCCAACAACCCAACCATAGCGTGGAAAGGTAAGTTCAGTGGAGGCAGAGATCAGTGTGTAGGTGTCTTCAGGTATCGAGTATGTGTGGGTGGCCATGATCTCAAATCGATGTTCTATCCCACCCTCATCCTTAACAATCAACTCTCCATGTCGATCACTCCCTTCCACAACAGCCAACCCCCGCACCGACCCCTTTTCAATACAGACCACATCCGAACACCAGTCTTCATTCCCTGTCTCATCGCAATAAAGCTGAATGTTGGGAGCAAAATCATATTCAGGCAGAGACTTCATCATAACCTGGTCCCATGATGGCCTCCATTTTGTGCCTGCATTTCCCGGTTCAGGACACAAGAAAAACAACTGCCCCTGACACATCACATCCACCGAATTCATGAGTGCTACCCATGCCTCCTCAAGAGACTGGCTCTCATGGTATGCTGGTATCATCTCAGACCCCATGAGAAATGCCAGTCCTGCAACTTTGTCCACTGGGTTTGTTGACACCCGTTTCTGCATGCTCTTCAGCACTGCACACACATCACCATATGAAATGCCCTTCATAGACTGCAGCTGCTTGTGAAACCTGGCTAGTAGCTCAGTCTCATATTCCCCATCCTTATCTTCAGCATGCAGTGGTCCATCTGGTGTGTCCCCTGCAATCACCCTCTTGTCTCCAATCTCTTCTAGTGTCCAAGCACGTCTAAACCAACTCCGGTCACTATCCAAGTCACCCTCCTTCAAACTCAAAGGCTGACCCAGCCCACTCAAGTAACACACCACATTCCAGGATGTATGATATACTGCTCCAATAGTGGGCACATCCAGCTCCCACTCTTCCATGCGCATATCCTCTGATTCCTCCCCCAGTCCACCCTCCTGTCTCAAACAGAGAACATCCAGCCAAACATACCCCCCATCAAGATTGAGCATCTCAATGCAGATGAGGTTGAGATTGGTGTCTTTCGGAATGGGAACTGGCCATTCATATCTGTTGATGGGTGTCCACTCATTGACATGATCCTTCTCATCCATCCATGCATGTGAGATTGGCCGAAGCTGGTCCATCCAGTTGCCGTCATTGGGGATTCCTGTGCACCACCATGGCACCACCCGATTGCTATACAGATCCCACACTATTACGATTTTGCGCTCTATCTTATCTTATCCGCTCTCTCATAATCTCGCTATGCTAATTCTCCGGACTTGATCGCATTCTACCATGCAGGTTCAGTACGATTACCGTACCGTTGCAGACACTTGTAGTATATTTAGCACGACCCAAACTGTATTTAAGTAGCTCGACTGCAGGTCTTAAACCTCAGTCTCGAACTAAAGTTTATTCACCTGATAACTTAGTCTGAACTCACTCTCGCTCAACTAAGCGATAGCTCCCTTAACACAAACCTGCGGACAACATACAGCGCCTGACCGAAGTGCGAGTCACGCTGAGTTGTTTGATCTTGTTTGTGAAATCGGTTGCTAACAATTAGTTCGAGACTTTCTTACTCTTCAACAACGATGACATTGTCGAACAGTACCGAATGAACCCCATTGAACAATACCTCACCGACCTCTTTGGACTACAAGGCTTTGTTGCCATAGCCTATCTCACGTTCCTTTATGGATACGAGTACCGACGAAACCAGGAGCCAGTCTCCGAAGAAACTATCCCCGTCGAAGCCCCCAACCCGGAGGCTAGACGATCGAACACACCCCCTCCCGAATACATCGACGACAGACCTGAACCAATCATCCACTTCATCTTCATCAACGACGACGAGTGAATCACAGAGGACTCCGACACAGACGAGTCCAGTGAGTCCAACACCGAGGTGGAAGGATGGCCCACACAAAGAGGCCCAGTCGTTGAAGAAGAAGAAGAACGAGGAATCTACGAGCAAGGGATGGACCAGCGTATTCTCTCTCCCATTACCGAAGAAGAAGACGAAGGGGAAAGCGAGGGAAGTGATCCCTGGGACGCCCCTTCCCCAACCTCCACCGAAAACTCAGCCGCCAACCCTGGCTATGATTCAAACGGACAGCGCCTCTATCAAAGAGGGCTTAGACACCATCTGGGAGAAAGAGGAGAGGCTGAAGATGGAACTGGAAGCAGTTCAGATGAAGAAGGCAGCTATACAGAGGAGGACAGTAGCAGCGACGAGCTCCCAGGGCTGCGCAACGACTGGTCCCCCCCAAGGTTGGACTCAAGAGGAGAAACATGGGGCAACCACTACGCCCGCAGTGACTCCCCGAACGACGAAGGAAGTTATCTCCAGCTCGTCGCGTGTCCCAACACCCCAATCATCCTCAACGATAGGGCCGGGGAGGCCACTACCGAGCTCAACCACTGCGAGCCCACGTACGACGCCAACGCCAGCTGCGATGTATGCTGACGAACACAGGACTACGCCGACGCCTGGCTCATGTATGAAGGAATTGAACCCCCCTCCTCTGTTGCCCCATATGCAATTTACCCCCTCGCACCAGAACACTCCCTTGCAGCCCCCGTCCCCTACGTCGCACCCTGGGTATGGGATAGACCCCAAAGACCAGACTTCGATCAAGTCATACTCAGGGTCAACGAGTGGGCACGAATCATTCGAAACTGGAACCGTATCGTCACAGGAAGCACAGAGCCTTTCGAGCGAGTCCGACCAATCAAACTTAGAAGAAGGTGAAATTTACGAGAACCCTGGAATAGGGCGGACTTCGATTTACAGCAGCAGCATAGAGTCGGAGAATATGGAGAAGAGGACATCATCCCGGAATTCATGGAAGGATCTAGCTCGGGAGCCTACTGAGGCCGAGCTCTTCAATATGACTTATTTGGAAATGTTACGCTGGACAGAAAAGAAGTTACCATGCAAAATCTCATGGAACGGGTCGCCTCAGGGCAGATACTTTCAGAAGGAGAAGAATTCGCCAATCGGAAGTCAGGTGCTGTACAGAGAAATGATCTTCCATACCAACATTCTATGGAACCAAGTGCACCCAGACGATTACACAGACCCCGGAGAACGGTACCAGGTGCCAACCCCATCAGAAGCATCAAGTGGGAGTACGGTGGATCTAAGCCACCTATCCATTCTCAAAAGAACAGGGTATGTCGACCCTAGCCAGCTATTTGCAGCCGCAGGAACCCCAGGAAGCGCAGGTGCTGCAGCCGCAGTACCAGCCCAACCCGCAGTACCAGCCCCTGTGCCACAAGGCCCCTTGACCCCGCACCATAACCCCGCATTACGATCCTTACCACGACCCGCAGCAATCCCAATCCCCGCCGACCCTGTACAACCACCTAACACGCCGCCCCCATTCATTGTCGGAGTGGCAAACACGAACCCTTGGGGGCAGGTGAAACCACAGCTAGCGGAACCACCCGAGAAGTTCAAGGGGGAATCTAGCGACGTAGATCGGTTCCTCAACCAATGCGAGGATTACTTTAACGTATTCCCGCAGCAATTCACAATGAACGTGCATGGACAAAGCCCAAACCGGGTAGTATTTTGCACCTTCCGACTCACCGACAAAGCGTTACATTGGTGGAACCATGCAAGGGACGAGTACTATGATGAAACGTGCGGTTACCTGCGATACCCAGCATGGCAAACGTTCAGGCAAATAATCGAAGACCAATTCCGAACCGATGCGGAGGTAGAACTCAAACTACAGGAGTTCAAGCGAATCCGACAAAACACCTACAAATCGGCAAAGGAGTTCTTCTGAGACTTTGAGCGATTAGCAAAGGAGTCTGGGAAGCGCCACAACGAGGAGTATATGATCGAAATACTCAAACCCGCAATTCGAAAGAACATCAAAACGGCAATACACGCCACTGGAACTGCCTTACCACGCACGTATGCAGAATGGAAGTTCCGGGTAGAACAAATGGACTACAACTACCGTGTGGGATTAGCAGAAGACGCTGGCAGGAATCAAGGAGCACAGGGTCAACAGAACAAGGGAACAGGAAAAGCTGGAAGCTCCGGGAATTCCCAGGGTGATAAGAAAACGGGCACAGGAACCACGTACGGGGGGCAAGGACAACCGATGGAAATAGATCGATTACGCAAAGAAGGACGCTGCTTCCACTGCGGTCACAAGGGACACCGGAAGCAGGACAACAAGTGCCCCAAAGACGAAAGCACTTGGCTCGTCAAGCACCAGCCCAAGTTCTCTCATGCCCAAATACGTGCAATGTATCAACAAGTATTGAAAGACGAAGAAGGGGAAGCCTCCACATCGAAAATTGAGGAGGTAAAAGACGAGCCGACGGCATAAGCGACAAATGCGCATCGGCTAAGGACTTAATTTCATCTAGTGGTGCGTTCTCGAACCCCGCAGGTCGGACTAATAAATCGCTTGTAGTATCTCCGAACAATATCACAGTTTTCACGCAGTCACAAAATGAAATTAACAAGTCGCATAAAAGCAACAGTGTACAGGGGATTTCCACCGTGCTCGAAGAAGAACCCCACTCAAGATCCTTGGCCACCGGTGCGAAAGCACAAGCGGCGCATGCTGCGCAAGGCAGCGGGAAACACGGGATCAAGGTCAACATCGCTCCGTGGCGGGTAGGTACCAGCACAGAAAACGGAGGAAGAGCGGCCGAGCCAGTAGTGGGCGGGGATGCCTCCAGGCGGGAGAGGAACGATGCAGGACCCTGCCCGAAGGCGGAACGTACGCACCTGCCCTATGCGGCCAACTACCCCGACACGACGGAGCCGCAAGAGGGAACACGAATCCCCATCAAGAAAACCGCTGCCCCGCAAACAACAGTCAAGACGACCGGGGACATCATACAACCTCCCTCGATTACGGTGCATCTTCCTCCCTCGTCACTAACACATAATGGCACCGGGGGCTCGTGTTCCCCGGTGGGCGGGTCGGTGGGACCATTATGTGCTTCTACTACTTGTAATAAAAAGAACGTTTCCATCGAAGAAGTGCCCGATGAGGAAGACGACTACAGTTATCAACAAAGCCTTAAAACACAAGGGGAAGACCCGGTGATTCACACCGAGGAGTACCCAGAAGACTATGAGGTGACGGAGCTAGAAGAGGAATATTACAACGATAAGTGGGACAAAGGGTGGCTCAAACCGCACAGCGCTGAGTGGGTAAGACGGAAGATGAGACAAGAAAAGACAATGGAGGGAAAGCTCGCAACGCTCCGGATGTGGGTACACCCCAGACGTCTCATAGAAGTAGACGAGGACCTCGTACTGGACCTTATCGGCTCGACCAAAGAGACATACAAACAGCGGGAGCAGTGCCTACAAAACATGGAGGATCTACGCGTACCCCCACAGTATATTCAGGGAGGAAAAGGGAGGAGTGTCAACGTTCGCGTGCAGCTAGAAACCTTGGACACCGCTCAGGTGCGAGCGGTCGATGCTCTAGTAGACAGCGGATGCACCGGGAGTTGTATAAACCGAGCATTCGTACAAGAACACCAAATGAATGTGGTAAAATTACCCAAGGCTCAAGCAGTCTACAACGCAGATGGTAGCAGGAACAAAGGGGGAGACATCACCGAGATAGTGGAACTCCGAATGACCATCGGAGACCACCACGAGAAGATCGACCTAGCAGTCGTAGACCTAGGGAACGTACCCTTGTTTTTGGGACACGACTGGCTTAAACGACACAACCCCATCATAGACTGGAAAACGGGAGCCGTGACATTGGTCCGATGCTCGTGCCGCAAAATACCATTCGTACTACCAGATGAGGATCCAGAGCAAAGCTGGGGAGAGGAAGTAGAAGAAGGGGACCAAATCCTGATAATAGACTTTGAAGAAGCGTTCCATGTCCGAGCCATGGGAAGCAAGGCCAATGAACTAGCCGCCAAAGCAAACCAAGCCAAGAAAGCAAAAACGTTTGAGGAAATAGTTCCAGAAGCATACCGGGACTTCCAGGATGTATTCGCAAAGGAAAACTTTGATGAGCTACCGCCCCGTAAACCCTGGGACCACACAATCGAACTCACCCCCAATATGCAAGCAAGTCTAGACTGCAAGGTCTATCCCCTCAATCCAGCCGAACAAGAAGAGCTGGATAAATTCCTTGATGAAAACTTAGAATCAGGAAGGATTAGGCCATCCAAATCGCCCATGGCATCACTATTCTTTTTC